TAATTTTACCTTAAAAATTTAAACAAAGATATATCATATTGTCTACTCAAATGAGCTCAAAATAGTGAATATGCAATCCAAATTGACATTTTCAGCACAAGTTACTGCCAGTTTAAACCACATCAAAATCAACTGTATTGACTATGATTCTTATTAGGTCATGAAAGAAGCAGTCTTTGGCATGCTTCTTCATATGAGCGAATGGTGATGGCTAAGATATTGCATTACCTCATTGTGAGGTCACTATCTTCTTGCCATCTTCCTCCAGGGTTTCAGTTTTGATGCCTGGAAGGAAAACAGCTCCCTCTTGTTCCAACCATCTTAGGAAATCTTGCCAATTCCACAGAAGAAAATTAGTAGGATATACTTTCCTCACTGTTCCAGTTTTGTGCTGTTTGTATCTATGCTCATTAACATCAAAGTTGAATGACTAAGCTACATAGTAGATGGCAAAATAATAGACAGGGCATGTATAGTTAAACATGCTAACAGTGAAATATAAAGAAAATTTGGTGATTATGCAAATATGATATTACCCACGTAAAAGTCTGCAAATAGTTCATTGCCTTGATGTCAGCTGGGATGTTTACAAGGACACTAGCTTAAAGGGGCAACAAGGTCTGTAGAAGATTCAATTTTGTTACTTTTTCTGAGCTATCAGGGCAATATTTGGCTTTGACATACCTATTTTCTTAAAATGTATGGATAAACTATCAATTTCAGCATTAAGAAGTGTAAATTCAGTTCAAAGCTTCTATAAAGGGAGTCCCACTTATAGGTTTTTAAGATCCAAAACATTTCAAGAGGAATCAGCTGAAATAATGTTCATCCAGGGGGTTTCTTTGGAAAGAAATAAACATGTATGTTAGTTTTGATGAAATATCAAAACTTGAATATATTTTGACACTGGTCCATGATCGTTGAATGGCCCTTTTGCACTAATTGTTGCACCTTTAAAACAGCACTAGAGAGACTTGTGGAACTGGAACAAGGACAGTCTAAGGAGGAAACTGAAACCCTTGAAATGGATGGAAAGAAGATAGTGACCACATAAATTAAGGAGGCAATGCAATGTTTTAGCCCAACAGTGAGGTTCTGCCATCACCCTTGCTCTTATAAGAAGAAGCAGATTCAAGGATATTTCTCAATATTTTCAGTTAGACTGCTTTAATCATGGCCTTCAAGAGAAAGAATAATACTCCTTACATTTAATTCTGATGTGGTTATTCTGGCATATATGTGATGTTAAAAACTGAAAAAGTCAATTTGGATAGCATATGGTAAGGGAGAAAACATATCAATACCTACCTGCCCATGACCAAAGTTTAATCCTCCCCATTTCTCATACAATCATTGGATGTGATGTTACATCTGTATTCTACTGCTATGGAAAAATGGAATAAATGGATTGAGATTTAAATGTGTCACTGAATTTTCTAATTGTTGTTAATCATTATCTCAGTAGGAATAAAGTGAAAAACAGACTATTTTCCCCATTTTGAGATCATTTTATCTTGAAAATTATTGTGATAACATTTGGCATTCTTGTGCCCAATCATTGACTGTCATTATTCACTGACAGAATCGTTGACAGAAGCAGCTCACCTATTAACCCCCCCATCAGGCTAAGGTGACTGGACTTACTACCTATTGCATTCATTCGACTTTCCTTCTCAAAAGAGAGCTTCGTCTTCACTCTATCAGTTTTCAATGAATCTCTGAACTCACTGCGCTAATCAGAGTTTGTTGTCGAAATAAGGACGGCTTTCTATATGGTTATTTTCTCTGACGAAATCGCATCATTAATGTGCACGCATTTACCACTTGTTCCTTCAAGCTCGCTGATTGGTTGAGAATAGGTCAGCATGGTTTATTGCAGCTTGGGTCATAAATGCTTTAAGACCCAAGCTGCCAATGGCATCGGTCATGGGGACGGGGCTCCTAAACTCACTCCATCCTTTGCTTCTATATTATGGTAATATATGATAAAATCACCCCTGACCTGTCAAAAGCTAAAAATGTCATTTTTCAAATTTCCATTATTTTTTACATCTCCTAAGGAATAATATGACAAAACAAAAGTATATGACACAATTCTAAACTCATTTGAGATGCATACGTCTCATAATTAAAAAAAGTTCAAGGTTAAATAAGCCCCCCCAGGCCATCATAAGCTAAAATGAAAATTTCAAATTTTAAGAAATTTTCAATCATTTTCTACATCTTATTGGAGGTATTATGATTAAATAGAACTATATGCATCATCTTGAGCTAATTTGGGAGACATATATTACAAACCTTGAAAGTTATTAAGGTAAAATATGGTTACCCCTGGCCCTTCAGAAGTGATAATGAAATTTTTTTTTTTTGAAAAGTTCCAATCATTTTTCAATCCAATTAGGAATAATATGACAAAACAAGACTCAATGCACCATTTTGAGCTCATATGAGACCCATACATTGCATATCTTAAAAATTATTAAGGTAGAATAAGGTTACCCCTAGGCCGCAAGGGCTTAGAAATTCAAATTTCGATAATTTTTATTTAAAAAAATACATGAGCTACCCAAGCCATATTCTACATTTTTGATGAACACTTATACCCCTATTAGTATGAATTTTTCCAAGATGATCAGACATCACATTCTTGAAATACAGTACTTGATGTCCCATATTTGACCCTTTAAAAGATGAATTCACTCTAGATAATTGGGTCAAAATGCATTTTCCACGCTTAACACCACATCTACAATCAGTTTGTCTCAATTTCAAGGCTCAGAGCAATCACCAAATGAAGTCATTTAAAAAAATTTACTTCACAACCATTTTTATTTATTTTTTATAATGTACCCCCTCCCCGCCTGATAGGGGTTGGGGTCAGAGACTAAAAAATCCATGAAGACCACTCCGGATCACTTGCCCCGAAATCATTTTCCACTCAGATCAAGTGTTTCTACAACTGTGCCAAGTTTGTTGCTTTCCTGAAAAAGTCGAACTATAAAGGGCTCATTTCTGGACATCTGACTGCGCTAAAGAGGACATTTACATCTACAAGATGTAAAAATAACAAATTGGTCTGAAGCAGGGATAATCCTCAATTAGACTGATTCAATAAAATACAAGTCTTGATTTTGGGGAAAGAAGTTCATCAGTGTACTGCGCTAATATTTTTTTGCGAAAAATCTAAAAATATTTCCCAAATTAAATTATGACTATTCAAAAGAAGACATTCAAATCTATATTATGTAAAAAAAATCAAATTTGTCCGAAACAGGGATAATGCTAATTTAGATTGAAGAACTTTGTTCTCCAAACCGAGAATCGTCCTTTGTAGTGACCATGAAATAAATCTATAAATATTCTGGCTTAAATAGATGTTGGGTATATCCCAGGGGAAAATATGGTTATCTTCCCTTGGTCAGTTTCCTTGGTAGATATTGAAATTTTCCCCAGGGATACACCCTATATCTAATCCCTTCCAGTGTTGATTTCATGTGTATATCATACAAGGAAATGTACAGTTAAGTACAACTACATGTGCAGTCAAGTACAACTACATGTGCAGTCAAGTACAACTACATGTGCAGTCAAGTACAACTACATGTAGTCTAGTACAACTACATGTGCAGTCAAGTACAACTACATGTAGTCAAGTACAACTACATGTGCAGTCAAGTACACCTACATGTGCAGTCAAGTACAACAACATGTACAAGTCAAGTACAACTACATGTAGTCTAGTACAACTACATGTACATGTCAAGTACAACTACATGTACAGTCAAGTACAACTGCATGTACAAGTCAAGTACAACTGCATATACAAGTCAAGTACAACTACATCTACAGCTGTACAGTCAAGTACAACTACATGTAGTCTAGTACAACTACATGTACATGTCAAGTAAATTGTGCATACTCATAATAAATATAAAATTACAGTTTTGCCATTATACTTCATGTACATATTTACATTACATTGTAATGAATTAATTTAATCATAGTTAAAGTTGATTAACCCTTACTCTGTACAAAATTTAAATGCAACATTAAATGTTAAATGCAAACTTCACCATACAAAAAAAACTGAATCCTCATGATAGTGTATTTTTAAGCTCATGATAGTGTATTTTAAAGCTTAAACTGTCATCGACCTTCAAACACACACCTGAATGCACCTAAATTTAATTTACCTAAATGACCTATATGGATAATGTTAAATTATAAAAATGTTTAAATAACTGAACAAGGCTTGCAAATTCTAAAAATGCTTAACAACATCCCATGATTTTCTTATCCTAAAAGTGCTGGATTTTCAAAATTCAAGAATTGAATTCAATCCAATGGTTTTCTACCTTTAAAATTACTTGTGATTTAAAAAGGATGGAATTCAAAGAACACAGCACCTCGTCCCTTCAGAGAACACCAGAGAAATGTATGATACAGTGAAACCTGTAAAGTGGAACACCTCTGTAAGTAGAACATTTTTCAGAGTCCCAAGATCAACTGACTTAATGTTAAATGAACCTTTATAAGTGGAACACCTCCCAAGTGGGACACTTTTTAGAGGTACAAAAGGTGTTCCACTTAGACAGGTTTTACGATATCCATTTATGGGCAAAGTCAAATACCAATACAATGTTACATTTTACGAAGAAGTAATTTCTTGGAGGAGGGAAATGGGATATTATCTTAACATGAGGTATTTCAATGTCCGCAAGTTTCATTCTAGACGATGTCTGATTCTTTGTGAAATTCCACATAAACATTGAGAACATTTTCAGCTTAAATAGAAAATGTGATGATCTATATTCACATAGCGTTAATTCAAACATCTCAGTATATGGCACTTCATTTTAATACTATTCTAATTGCTGGTATGATTTCATCAATGGTGCTTACCATATAAGGAATTCTAGAATTTGGGTATAAGGAAATCTAGAATTTGGGTATAAGGAATTCTAGAATTTGGTTGAATACAGTGTCCTCACATGTCTGAGTATACAGTAAAACCTGTGTATATAGAACAACTTTCATACTGGCCTAAATTGTTCCTTGCAGACAGGTGTTCTATCACCATCTACTTATGCCTGAGTCACACTTGCTTCGATTCATCGACCAGCGCCCGACCAACTGAGTATTTGGTTTAAAATTCCATTCAGTTTTGAAAAAATACTCAACCAGCCAGGCGCCACATGGTGAATCAGCGCAAATTTGACGCAGGCATTACGGGTGTTGATGAACATGTACACGTAAGTCAATATGACTAGGATGTTTTGGGTGAAAACTGTTCCATGTCGAGTGGTGTTCCTTACAGAAATTGCAGGTTTTACTGTATATGTTTCAAACAATTATGAGTGTCTATACACTTAAGTCCTCTCTAATTCCTGTATTTTCTGGTACATTTCATGTTGAAAACATCAGACTATATTCACATTTGTGTAGTTTAAACCCCAGGTACTCGTGACGGAGATCCATACAGTGCATGATGAATTTTCTTAATCCTCGGCTTTTTCCGTCTTGGTTTACTTTTACTTTTGTACATATGGTTCACTAAAAATACTAGAACTAATGCAGTTCCTAGGAATGCTATAACTGGGAAGACGTTAGTGTTTTCAGAGCTATGCATGTTTGCGCCAGGCCCTAGGTCCCAGTTTAGGCTTCCAGGGGCATCACGGATACCCGGTAATGCTCCATCGACCCCTGGATTGTTTATGAATGGAAGCGGTGGCTCTAATCCTATAGAGAGTAGCTTATTGTGCTTGTATAGATTTCTGAAAATAGAAATATTTCAAAAATAATTAATCCATGTTGTTGTTTTTTTATTTTATTTTTTCTTATTTTGTTTTTTAATCCATGTTGTTCATATTCATAGATAGTCATGTTTAAGTTATTTATCCATGTAGTCTTTATTTAAAGACAAATGTTGATGTAATAATAACTTGAGAAAGACTTATTATGTTACATCCATCCATTTGATACAGATAATTAATGTCTTTTCACCATCTAGGCCCAATGAAAGATTATTTCATTTCACTAGCACATCGTGAAATAGTGAAATACTGACTTTCTAGGGCAAAATAGTTTCGTATTTTACTCAAGTCACTGTAAAAATTCACTATGAAGTTATGAACAAATCAAATATTCTAGAAACAGACCCTAGAAAATAGTCCTTATTAAAGACTCATATTACTGAAACAATGACTTCTGTTATCATAACTATATAAATGTATTTGAGATATTAAATTGGGGATATAATTAGAATATGTTTACATGTTGCCCATCATATACTACATAACATACAGCCATGCAATGTTCCTAGTATAGTGTCTAACTACAAATAAAGATTGATTAAATAAGTTAATTAAATCAGCAATGTAGCTTTATGATAAAGATAACAAATGTCTCTAGAATAAAGGTGTTGATATAACATCTGAGCCTGTTAAACGTGTTGATTATCTTACTAACTTAAAAGGTGAACAATAAAATTATTATCACATGCTTTAAGTCAACCATACACATAACAGCCCTTTTATAGTAAAAGCCATAGGTGCCCTGCAAAAATAGTCAGAAAATGTGTAATTCATGTGTAATTTTACAGAAAACTATTTAAGGCCCTGTGTATAGTGCTATAATACACAAAATGGGTGAATTTATGAAAAGCAGAACAAAGATTTTATTTCGCTGGTGATAAAATTTGCCACCCAATGCATTGAAACCAAAATGACCGTTGTTTCTTATTTCACTTCAACAAGAGGTAGATATCATAAACAGGTAGAACAATGCAAGCATTATATGAAAGAAAACAGAAATGTTATTGGAGGAAAGTGATGCACAGCATTTACATCTTATATCCCAAAGATAAACTTTTAGTTCAAAATGTTTTGTGGACTTTAAAGAAAAGCATATCATTCCAAAACCAGCTAATACAAACACCTGCAAATCTACTAAATAAAAGGAACTTTAAGAAAACTTAACTATATAAATCATCCTCTAAAAAAATCATGGTCGTCATAAAAATTCAACTTTTCAAGAAAAATTAAATGTCACATTTTGAACCATTTCTAAAATTTTAGAAGTTAAAATTCTGAAGTTCAGTATATTCCTCTTCAATTTCTCTCTTATTAAGAAAAGCAAGAAAAGCACATAACCACCATGAGATTTTTTGTAAGGGTTAGCCACAACAAGCACAACTTACAAAATTCCAACTTAGAATCCCTAAAAATGAAATTTTAAAGTAAAACAAATGAATGTACCTGTTTATGATGGGCAACATTGACTACAGGGTGCTCCATAAGGATTTTTCAAATACTTGTAATTCTTGAATTACAGACCAGTTTATTTAACAAAATCAGCTTACCAAAACTGAAACTGGCTGTGGCCTATGGGTTATAAGAAATGTCACACCCTAAATTATGACAATTTAATGACAACTTTACTTCCATTCATTGATTCATGTTCCCATTAAAAAACTTAAACTACCTTGTAAATAAACACACACTTTCCTTTTTATCTGAACTCCATAATTCAGTTCATCTATCATTGTGTCATATATCAATAGAAAGAACAGGAATAAATAACAGTAGCTAGACAACAGCAACGCCAAAGCGAAGCAAGTCCCATCAAACAGCAATACTTGCATTTTTTCAAATGAAATATATAGCAAATATACTACCCAAAGTGTCATGAGACAGTGTGCAAGGCCCATGAGTATTCACATATCAAATATGAACAAAATCGCTCCACTACTTTTCAAGATGTAGTAAAAAACGTAAAAATGGTCGCCATTTTTCAAAATGGCAGCCTACTACTCAAAGTGTCATCAGACAGTGTGCCATGCTTATAGTATTCACATATCCAATATGAATAAAATCACTACTACTTTTTGAGTTACAGTAAAAAATGTTAAATAACATTGTGCCATGCTTATTGTATTCACATACCAAATATGAACAAAATCGCTCCATGACTTTTCAAGTTACAGCAAAAATCAGAGGCAGCCATCTTTCAAGATGGCTACCATTTATTTCTTATATATTTACATTTCTAGCCTAATTAATGTCCTATATAACTTTTTACATTTAAAACATATTGCTATTACAGTTTTATATACAGTACCTAAATTACTTTAAAATTGACACTAAAATGGCTGCCATCTTTTAACGAGTGGCCATTTTGAAAATTGGCTTTCAAGCAGAACTTGTATTGCAATGGGGCATATGTGTACAAAATATGAACAAAATCGGGCGAACAATATTTGAGTTATTGCCTGGACAGACGGATGGACGGAGGCATTCCCTTTATCCCTCCGAACTTTGTTCGATGGGATAATTATTACAGATGTAAATAGCATAAAAGGTGACAGATACTTACGTAGGGGCTGATATGTTGAGTGGGCTGGGCTGAGAGAATGAGAGATGGGGGCACGCAGGAAGAGGACGGGACTGGGGCGTGCCTAGATGGCTCTCCAACACCTTGGAGTATCTGTACAAGTGGTTACCTGAAAAATGCGTTTTACACAGTTTGTATATAAATTTTATTTGCACAAAAGATTTTGCCAGTTTTTATTTTTGGGTGTCAATTTCAGTTCTCAATTTACAATTTTCATTTACTCAATAAGACCACCACACTTTTTCAATTTTATATTTTTAATCGTAAGTCAAAATGGATATCTTATGATATAATTTACCTATCCCTATAAAGCTAATATTAAAATTAATATGTAACAAGTTACCAGTAATACTTAAATCAATATTTCAATACATTTTATCCATAAATGCAACTTGGTACATTTCTTGGCCACCAAACAAAAAATTAAGTCTACCTGAAAAACGTTAAAAGCAAACAAAAAAGATCCTAAAAATTTAGCGCTAAGAAATAAAACATCATACCTTCCATACGTTCAGGTAGTTCTGTGCTTGTGAATGTCAAGGAACTTTTACGCTCTGTGAATATGGGTGGGACATTACCATGGGATGAATACTCTAACAAGGCATCCAGCAACCAGAAACACTCTACAAAAGTACAAGATATTAAAGTGTGCGCCAAAGTTTAAAACTGCGCAGGCGCACCGCTCTCGCTAAACTATATAAAGAGATTACCAGGTACATGATTCAGAGGTAAGCCAGGAAGCTGAACGATCTTCGTCTCATGATGATTTCCCATATAATCGTAACCAGGGAAGTTTCACCATTGAAATTGAAAATTGCTATTAGATATACTTTGTAGATGTTATTTATGAAGCTATTTAGTGTTTGCATCAATCAAATGGCTCATTTTGAACATATAAAAAGTATTTGTGTTTTGTTTCCCAGGGAATTGTATTGTATGTAGTACACACATAAATAGTGTACATTATACAGTACTTGAATAGCCTGGTTTACATAATATTGAAGGGCATGCTGATTACATGCACGAGTACATGAATGAAGGCCTAATATTGAAATACTTAGCTTGCATACCTAAATAAAAAATAAACTCTTCTAATCCCCTAATGTAAACACAGCGGTATACGTATCCTGATTTATCGGGGACTTTAAAGGAATTCATATTTATAGATTATAGATTAACATTTAAGGATGTTAGAAGGTAAACTTTCAGTATTCAAAATTTGTAGGAAAAAGTACATAAATACAAAAGATAAGTAAAAAAGTCCATTTGATGTTTCACTCTATATTGAAAGTTTAGAAGCACATGAGGATGAATTTGGTAAATAATTTGTTTCATACCTTTCTGCAAATGGCTGTTATCTAGGCAATTTGAGTCCCCATACAAGACAACTCTTCCGCTGCCCTTCCCTGGCTCATGCAGTCCTAATATGGGCACAGAATCCACAGTAACACTCTCCCCTTTCATAACTTCATACCCTTATTAAAACAAGAATTAATCAGAATACAGTTTTAATTTAAAACTAGTTTATTCATGTGTTACTCATGTTATAAAATACAGTAATAAAATTTTATAAAAAGACCAATGTGCATAAATTTTGCCATGTAATAAGTAACAATATGTCACAAAGCAAAAAAAGCACCACATGATTCAAAGAACATGTGTAATGCTAACCACACATATGGATGGAGCTCTAAACTCTGCACCAATCAAAATTTCATTTCACCATTTGGACAAAGGTGTATTCATTTATGCTTTATGTATTTACCTTGATTTTTAAGAGATTCTGTAATCAGCAGACCATCTGTCGGGAACCTTGCAATACTTGTCCCAGATGCATAGTACACTGCAATACAAATATATATGATTTACCCATTCCCGATGAATAAGAACACTGAAATGCAAATAAGTATGATTTACTCATCCCAGATGCATAGTACACTGCAATACAATATACATAATTTACTCATCCCTGATGCATAGTACACTGCACAACACATATATATGATTTACTCATCCCTGATGCATAGTACAGTGCAATATAAACATGTATTACATACCCAGCGAAGCATTTGTATTGAAGTCAATGGAGCTGAAGGTCGGCTATATATTCCTGTATAGCCGCCAAACCTTTTACCATGACAATCTTATGATGTCATTGGGACGTCATGTTTCATTTCTTCCTAATTTCACTCGCACACAGACACGTGGCGTCATTGATATAACGTAGCCATGATATAAAAGTATGTAATACAACAGTTATGTCCGTATCATTGAATATATGCCTTCGGTCTGTCGTAATATAACCCTCGCAAGCTTGGGCTATATTGGTGACAGACCTCAGGCATATATTCAATGATAGGGACATAACTGCTAAGAATATCTTCAAATATAATTTAGCATAGTATTTAATTGTGTGTTTCAAATCAACTCACTTTCATGATCGCCAAATGTGAAGTCTCCTTCATACACTTGGTCACTAAATGCCATCCCAAGAGGAGCCAGGAGGTCATTTAATGCTGGGATATTGGCACCTCCTGTGTCGGGCATCCACCATTGACGCGTATTCTCATCATAAAACTTCACCTTCCTCATAACGGAGACATTATACCAATCAGCAAACACTACTACTGATAATCCATTAGCTATGTCTCGTTTTAATTTAACGATTTCTTCTGGGAAAAATTCTTCTTCTGAATCCACAACAAGCAATGTGCCGTATTGTTTAGCATCAAAGCAGGTGAATGGAGAACCGAGGACTTCGACAAAGTACCCACTTGTGCGTAAATGTTGATACATGTCTTTGAAGTTGGTATGAATGTGATCCCCATTCCTATATGACAAATAACAGTTTTTCATGTCAGTCATTACATATTCAAAAAATCAAATGCAATTTATCAAAAAAATAGACAACCACCATACATTAATGTAAAATACTCACTGGATTTAACTGAATGCTTAACAATGAGGCAATCATGGGCATAGCGCCTGTTACGCACAGAACATATATGCATACTAAATGAACTTGAAAAAAGTTTAAAATGTGTTAAAATGCATTAATTTGTTTGCACATTTATTGATGATTCTGTATTTGTATATTTAACCATTAAGTTTTATCAGTATAGAACTATTTAAAATGCTCAGATAGCATCAAATAACATCTTCAAAAAGAATTCCCGGGAGCATACCCCCGGATCCCTAAGATGCGCCGCCTTCAACCATCAATCAGACATACCTAAGTGTGCGTACCAACTCAAAATATAGCCCTACGCCCATGGCAATGAAATTAACTTCAAAAACCATTCCTTGCTTTACAATCAACTTATTTTGATCCATCTTGCTAACAGAAGATATCATATACATGAATGAAGAGATAACACCTCAAGTTAAGTTTCAAGGCTAGTTAAAGAGTAAAACATACCAATCAAGAGGATCATTCTTCATGCGCAGATTGTCTCTTGGAAAATAGCCAGGTGGATATCGGAGATTGTGATACTGGTCCCACAGGACTCTTTTACCACGTGGTGGGGTGGGGATCACTTTAACCTTCACTGGCAGCTTCACTATGGAGGTACGTGGAGTATCCTCACCATCCTGCGGCAAACATTTATATTACAGAATTTCCCAAAAAATAGTACCTGTTTCACAACAGGGTCTAATTACTTGTAAAGCATTTTGACAAAAAGCTTCATAACGAAGGATGTGTTCCTCTATAACGTCTCCAAACCTTCATCGCAAAGCTTTTTTCATCAAAATGCTTCGTACTAGAGCAATCAAACCATGAATATCAATATATCAATAGTTGATGTTCAATATTTGAACATCAACTTCTGAAGTCAAAAGGTCTGATAGAATAAAAAAAATGCCAATTACTTTTTGAGTTTGGTGATCATGTTTTATGATTTCATTGATCTGTAGACTTTAAAGGCGATGGATAAAAATCTTTCCTGTTATAAGCTTGTATCATACCTCTGCTGGTGATTCGATTGTCAGGGTCACCTGACCTTGAGCTATCCCTTCCCATGATGCAGCAGATTTTGACACACTGATGGCGACTGCAAGGTAACCGGACCACGGCCACAGGGTATTAGAGTAGGAGAAGGCTATCTCTATGTGGTTACCATACTGAGGTGTAAATGGTTGCCACAATGGTTTGTCTACAATCTTCCCCGTTACTCCCATTCCATTAAGTATTGTAATCTGGAAATGAAATAACAAATTGTTGATTTTTTGCCCAGTCGCATTTGATCTACAGCAACTGTATGGCTGCCCTAGCTTCCCAAAATCGAGAGAAATGTGCAGCATAAAATTTAGGGATAAGCAGTATGATGTTGACATTCTATACTGATATTGTGAAGCTACGGCCACTGTACGCCCGTCGCAGAGCAAATGTGAATGAGGCTTTACTGAATAATCTAATAACTGATTGTTCAATTGAAAGTTAATTGACAGGGTTAGATATATAGAGCTTTAAAATTGGTCTAAAATACAATGTTTTGTTACTTACATTGACTATGGCAGGAATCATGCCATAGTAAATAGGTTGTGAGCAATATGGCCACATATAGGGGCATTCAGTCAGGTCTATATAACTAGGGCTTAGGCTGAAACATAACCAACAATTATCATAACAGACATACAAGGTCTATCTTTATATCATATTACAGAATGGATCTTATCTACAACTAACTTTAATGTATTTGCTTTTTCACTATTCTTCTGGTTTCAAGAAAAGTTTTCATTTCTGCCTTTCATGGCGATTTGTATATGGCTCCTGCAAAGATTCCAGGCTATAAGACTCCTCATACAAAAGTAGTCATCATAGTAGTCAAATGTCCAGTATACTTACCTCGCTTGTGGTTTATAACTACGAAGAATCTGATATGCCTTCACAAGATCCAGACGACCATGACCTTGTTCAAACATGTTCACTCCTGGCAGCCTCCGCGCAGAGGCCATTAAAGCCTGCTTCATACTTGCAGGATTTATTACATTGGCTCGGTTGATTACGGCACTTGCAAGGAGGCTGACAGCTCCTGCTACAACTGGGCTTGCTACACTGGTGCCTGATAGAGACCTGCAGCCACCCCTGAAAAAATATTTGCTACTACATTTGCAGGGTCTAACAGTTAGCATTAAAAAAATGATTCGATCTGACATATTGAGAATTTTTCTGTCTGAACTGATTTCAAATTCTCATTTCGACTGGTCAAATGAATTTTAAAAATCCAAACTGGGTGCAAATGGATATTTATTTGTAATTTTCAAATTTCAATAGTAAGCAATATCATTGTGCCTAACAAAATTCTAAGGTCAAGGTCATGAAATATCCTTAAACTGTACAGAAACTGTAAAGAAAGTGATCACATGAGTGTTTACTAGCTGTTTATTACAAAAATGATATCTTTCCCACTCACTTGATAGCAGATCCTCTTACAGCTGACCCATATGTTACAATATCAGGCTTCACTCTCCCATAGCCTCCTGGTAGCTCCTGAAAATCAGCAAATTAAAATAATATTACTTTGCTATAAAGACCCATATTTCGCTAGCATTCTCATTGCAATTATGCCTGGGCCCTGGGGTGCTTACAAAATTTAACAACAAAAACACCTTCCAAAGACCAATTTGATAAGTGCCCAAATATGCTAGAGGGTCAAAACCCCAAGGGTTTCATGTATTGCATGGTAAAATTTTGTCAGGAAGGTGCCTATAATGTTGAATAGTACATGTATGTCAAACTTCTCTCTGGCCATGCCCATTTGGCAGTTTTATTTTCTAAAATGATAATACACCTTCTCATTTTCTGATATTTTGTAAAGCATTTAGTAATATGTTGATTACTACATGCCTAACTAAACTTTCTTATTGTCATATAAGTTCCATTTAAGTTTCCAACTCTACTATAAGTCATAATTAAGGGGCTATTTAAAAGAGGTGGATTACCTTTTAGGCATTTTACATTAGACTAAATTAATGAGGGAAAAGTTTTCAATGATTAAAACTTCATATCTTTTTTATCCGAGAAAGGCCCAGTGTGTAATGCATTGTAATGCATCTATTATAACATGTAGAAATAATTGCATATAGTATATAAAAGACAAAATGTCACCACCTAGTTGCTCGCAATATTATGAGTTCAATCTTAAGTTTGAATTTCTGAGAAATGATTAGGAAAAAACAAATATGTCAATTTGAAAGGTCGGAAGGTCAAATCTTTTTTGACCTTGAGAATGTCATTGAAGGTCAAATCTATAGCCAGATTCAAACTTTTGAGAACTTGTAGATGATTTTGAAAAAGAAATTGGTCAATTGGAACCAAATTGAAAGGCCAAATCTCAAATCTTAAGTCAGATTTGAATTTCTGATAACGTGTAGATGATTTCAAAAAGATTTGGTGAATTTGAAGCAAGTTGAAAAAAGACTTTTTTGACCTTATTAGACCTCGAAAAGGTCATTGATGGTCAAATCTTAAATATAAAGTCAGATTTGAGCTTCTGAAACTTGTAGATGATTTTGAAAAAAAGTCTAAACAGTATTTGTTAAGTCATTGGAAGTTGTAAGAATTTGTTACAGATGCCGATCGCCAACCACCAACAGCCATCAAAAAAGGAAACCATAACAATATGTCACCATATTTTGGTGGTGACATGAAAAATCCAAATGTAATGTCACAATCAACTACAGCAACAGTAAGTAGATTCTTTTTAAACTACATTTTCAAATTTATTCATAATTTAACAAAATATTGTGTGATAATTGCCATAAGGTGATTCAATTTTAATTAAAATGACATCATCAGTTAATGATGTAAGAGTATGGAGTGGTTAGGATTGGTATAAGGCCTCTAGTAATGATTGACAAGTATAAAAGTTTGAAACTTTATTGTTAATTCATTCACATTATCAGGTCTTCTCAGATACAAGGTAAGTTTTTAATATAAATATTTCATTGAAACATAAAAATAAATGAGGGAAATGTTTTCAATGATTAAAACTTCATATATATGAGCCAGGACTCATATAGATGGCAGTTCACTACTTTTCTCTATTGGGTTTTTCTTCACACTTGTCCCATTGGTTTGTATGTTAATATTGTTGTTTTAAAACACTTAATACACTAAACAAATCAAATTAATATCACATTTCTCTTCATTATTATTTACTAACATATTTTAAGTTTCATTATCATAAGGTTTTGGATATTTTCTTAAAAATTTGATTTAGGATATTTTGAAGCAATTTTCCATGTTAAAGTATACAATATTAAGCCCATTGAATTTTTTGCTATCTACTGACAGTCCTTAAGTCCATTCCTGTGCAATGGAACTAGATAAAGTATATTGGAAATTCACTTTCAGAATCTTCTCCAAAATGCTTAAGTTTGTGTGCCTCTTTGCCCTTGTGGCCATTGCCTGTGCTGCTCCCCGTAGCTACGGATACGGAGATGATGAGAACCGTGATGGTGTCCCAGATTCTCGTGATGCCAACCGTGATGGCAAAATAGACTACGGATATGGTTATGGATACGCAAGAAACAGCTATGGATACGGAAGCTATGGATACCAGCCATATGGTTACGAATACGTCCCATATGGAGATGGCTACCCATATGCCAATGTTGGACCCAACGGAGCTGTTGTCAAGTCCCCATCTGGTCTGATTGTTGGAGACAATGGTGGTTACATCAATGCCCAGACTGGAAAGGTTGTTGGACCCAATGGATACGTTGCCCCCCAAGGATATGGATATCAATATTAAAGTGAGCATAATGTTTTTGATAAGTTCAATTATACTAATAACTAATCATAAAATTTCTATAAATTCAAAAGTATAAAATAAAGAAATGTACAAGAAATTATACAGTTAATAACAGGCTTATTTCCTTATCAGTGAATAAATGGATCAAACTAATTTTATATTGAGACAATTTTATTAAAACGCAATAAAACCTGTCTAACTGGAACACCTTTGGTACCTCTAAAAGTGATTCATTTAGCATTAAGTCAGTTGATCTTGAGACTCTGAAAAGTGTTCCACAAACAGAGGTATTCTATTTTAAAGGTTTCACTGAACATTACAATCTTATAACTCATGTAACTTATGTTTCAGATGGTTAAATCTTCAACATTCAACAAGGATGACTGTGCCACTAAACAATCTACCTCCCAATCGATTAATTTATTATGAACTATGATTAAAGAAATAAAATTAAAACAAAATGTATAGATTTTATAGTTAGTCTTGTTATTTCCATTGAAATGAGGGGACACGTTTTTAAGAAAGTGCCTTATAATGTAACGTGTACAACGCTGCTGGAGAGTACTTGTACTGTTTTAATACTTTGAAATAAAGTTATTCCAATGATAAAAAATCCTAGGGACCTACCCACGTAGTCATTCCTCTGGACGAGAACCTGGCAATCTGGTGCTCAAAGTTAATGCCTCCTACCCCAATGACATCCATTTGATCTGCTGGGTTGTTCAGTGTCCTGGAAATAAACATTCAGATCATCATAAACATATTACAGGATGGTCTATGTCAGTGTTTTTCATATTTTGGCTTAAGGAAAACACTGGGCTTGGTTCAACTTCTCATCAGACACTTGCTTTTATTTTTTTCCTTAAATTTGAATGAATTGCCTGATTTCTTTTTGTATTTTGGTGACCAAAATCTAATAAGGTGAATTGACTAGGTTCATCAATGATTTTGTAAAATAATCTATTCAGGATTTGAGGAATACACTTGCTAGTATCATTAATCAGAAAAACATTTTCTGTTCACTTTCCCCTTTTTGGAATTGCTTTTAGGCTTTTAGCGAAAGATTCAATTGTTTAAACAAAATATAGAATTCTCGGTATAATATTATTTAAACTGAAGTTCGTAAATATCATTAACTATTTTTTGTTCAACTGCAAAAGATACATTGGAATTCTAGCCTTAGCCAGCAAAAATCAACTGGAATATATTATGACAAAAACACACCAATTTTACTCAACATGAATAGACTGCGTTCTCAGTACATAACAATGTCAGCAACCATATTTCATTTCAAAGTTTAGGGTATATCTTATTGAGTAACTAATGAATTAGATTATATTTTATATAGAAATTTATATGTTAAGTTAGAATACTTAGTTCGATATCAAAATATTTCATTAACGAAATGACATTATCTCCATTTTCTTAACATTTTTTCTGCCAATAGTAAATACAAATCTGAAGAAGGCTTTCTTAAACCTGTTAAAGTATCAATATCTAACATACTAGCTATGGCTTGGTTTTGTATAATCATTATTCAATATTTTGTATGTGGCAACTGATATTGAGCGCTTGAGGCTTATAAAACACCATACATATCACAGGTTAAAATAATTTTTCAGCTCAGTGATTTTCTAGAAAGCATACAAAATTCATACTAGCTTACACCTTGGCACCAGCACCAGTGAACTGTACTGTTTAATATTTGATTTAAGCAGTATACTGGTTTGTAAATACAGTATAATAGACATACAGTACTTATTGTGAATAAAATTTGCTTCATTCCTGTTTTGGTTGAATTTGAATTTAGTAGTTTTATAGTTTTAAAGAATATGAAATGTCATTCAATAATCAAACTAGAATAGCAGGAACCCCCAGAATGGTAAACCAACTTGTATTTGAGTTATCTCGTCCATGTCGCTGGTTCTTGATGAAGAAGATGCATGGACCACTGAATAAAAAACAAATACCTGTAGATAAAAAGGCAGATGGATGGATGGCTTCTAGATATCTATCCTGAATTACATTCAGTGGGATTAATAATGTTTTTAATGCTCATTATTTTGCAAAGATTTGTGCATCTAATAATTGATCATTTAAAAAAATACATTGACAAGTGAGTGATTGCAATAGCTCACTATGTAAGCTAATAAAAACAGGAAGATTTACAATTTACTACAAGAACACAAATGTGTACAAAATGTCCCCACCTTTGGGTGATCCCGTCAAATGGTTATCCAAAAATGAGTAGACAAGACTTTACCGACACAATTTGAGGACGGAAAATCCAAAATGGCCACCTTAAAATTTACCCAGAATGCCAAAAAATTAGTCAGTTCTAGATTTCATACTAAGAACCACCCCTGAAAATTTGAAATTGATCCGTCACACAGTTAACCAGAAAACATGTAAACAAGACTTTACAGACAAGATTTTAGGACAGAAAATCCAAAATGGCTGCCTCGACATTTACCCAAAATGCCCAACAACTAATCAGATCTAGATTTTCATACTGAGAATCATCCCTGAAAATTTGAAATTGATCTACCAAACGGTTCACCTAAAAACGCGTAGACAAGACTTTACGGGCAAGATTTTAAGACGGAAAATCCAAAATGGCTGCCTTGACATTTACCCAGAATGCCCAAAAACTAATCAGATCTAGATTTTCATACTGAGTATCATCCCTGAAAATTTGAAATTGATCTACCAAACAGTTCACCTGAAAATGCGTAGACAAGACTTTACAGACAAGATTTTAGGACGGAAAATCCAAAATGGCTGTCTTGACATTTACCCAAAATGCCCAAAAACTAATCAGATCTAGATTTTCATACTAAGAATCATCCCTGAAAATTTGAAATTGATCTACCAAACGGTTCACCTGAAAACGCGTAGAGAAGACTTTACAGACAAGATTTTAGGATGGAAAAATCCAAAATGGCTGACAATAAAAAAGTGATTATGAGTTTTTGCTGATTTCTTTTTACAAAATTATCACATATAACTACTGTTAACAATAACATAGGCTTTTACAACAAAGTACACCTGAAATTATTAATAAAGCTACTAAATAGTTAAAGTATGAAAACTGAAAAACACCATTCAATATGATACAAAGTATTATCGTGCGCTAACTTTTCTTAAAACATTCAAAATGGCTGACATGACTGAGCTAACAGGTCCAAAACCTAATCAGATCTAGAATGAAGTGAGCTGAACAAGATGTTAAAGTTTTAAAAGCAACTGTGTAGCTGTTTTTCTTAAAGTTTGCAGACAAGGATTTTAGCATTTGACTTCAAAATGGCCGACAGGAAGTAGGTATCGAGTTAATTTTTTTTCATCCACATCTGTATGCACTAATAAGTTATACCTGAAAATTTGAAGGTGATATCTGTAGCGGTTTTGGAGAAAACTGTCGGACGTACGGACAGACAGACGGACGGACGCGCCTAGGCCGACAATATGGCCCCACACTATATGGTGGGGACATAAAAATGCCTGCCATTTTTTCAACTATTCATTTACTACACTTATTTGAGGTATTTTGGTGGGCTTTTGGCAACATATAATTTCAGAACCATATGCCAAAGTTATATTTTAAAAGGGAATTTAATATTATAGTGGTCGGCATTAAACTCAGTACATACATGGAAATCTGAAATGAAATCTTTCCTAATCCTAATTTAATGCTTAATCTCTAAGCTTATGTTACTTTTGCTCCCATTCAGGCATTTTAGGAGCACATTTTATAAACAGGAGGATACATTTAACGTTATGCAATTTACGCCTAAGGGTTTTAAGTTATTTCAGTACTATGATTAAAATGTCAAAGTCATTGATATGTGACTAAGCTTGCATGTATGTCAAATTTCTCAGCATGTACCTTATCATACCATTTGCAATGCAGGCACACTGCCATGTGTAAGGGTGTGTTAACTGCATATATTTGTCAGCCATGGTATCTCAACAGGATTTTGGCCAAAATAAAAATACTTGGGTAGTTTGTCCTTTTCTCCTCTGTATTAATTTCATTTAAACTATTGCTTATTAATCATTTTAATAATATTGCGGAAATACAGGAACATGCATGTTTACAAGAATATATCAAATTCATTCTTTTCGTAAATCTTTTTAAAAAGGCCTGAAGCTAATCTTAAGCTTATTACATAAGCAATTTATGTTTGATTCATATCTGGATATTACTATGAAATAATAGTGTACCATACAACCCACGCTTTAAAGGGTATTGTTTTGATAAAATGTGAATCACCATTTTTTAATTCTATTTATTTACACCAAAATAATATGTTATAACAAGATTTCTTCAATCACTTTTCAGCATTACAGAAGAGTATACAGGTGACACATATTACAAATGTGCATAAGGTTGCTGGTCAGGCACATGGGTTCCCTGGGTCTAGGGTGATATCAGGTCTGGGAGCCGGTAAAGTAAAGAATAAATATTCAAAGGTTAAAGATCCAATTCTCTGTTTTAATTTACATACATTGAACTAATCAAAACTATTTATTGCAACTCTTATATTTAAATATGAACCTAGAAAAATGACTCCATGGAGTAGCATATTCTAACAAAACATATTTTGCTAATTCACTCTTCATCGTAAAGGGTGACGAAAAGCTTCCTGTATAAAAACAATATGGCAGCTCCAGGCAAGTCAACTGGATCAGTCCATTTTTAACAAATAAGGGGAGTTTTGTAAAATCCAATTAATTGAAATTGTCTTGGAGATAAAGTAATCCATTTATAATGATTCTGAAAACATTATTCAGAGAGTGATTGTTCAAAGAATGCATGTACAACAGCCATTATAAATCCTTGTATTAGAACTGCTTTGTTTCATTGAGAGGATATTTCATATGCCAAGCCGTGTACTAATACATTATGGGGAAAGGACCTTATACACCCTCCATTGGGATCTCCCCATGGGAAAAAAATAATTCATCTGATTTTTCAAAATGAGTATTTTGCTTCAATTATTACATTTATATGCACACTGGTATCTTGTTGACCTATATTCAGCACTGTATTGATGTATAGGCCACTTATTAGGGTCATAATTCAATCATGAAGTGTAGAGGCATAGATTCCAAACCAGGAAGTATTTTTGTGTCTGTCAAAATCCATTTACATCCTACGCATCCCTGCATCTTATCCAAATATGTTACTACATAATGAAATATAATAGTATAATCTTTGGTTTTACAAACTTGTATGATATTTGATAAGTGTAAAAGTTGTTTTTGGAGCATTTTTCTATAGCCATTTTGTAGGGAAAAAAATGATGAAAAAATGTACAATCTTTTAATTTTAAGTATGACCTGAATCGATTGCAAACTTCATATTTGCACATTTGATGAGATAAACCATTTGTGTCGTATTGTGAAATTATTAAGTTTGCAATCGATTCAGGTCATAGTGTATTTTTGGTATTTCTGTGATAATCAATGGAAAACAATGGCTTCTATTGGGATCTGCTGATATCCTCATGTTAAGTCAATGGTACACAGCCCCATGTAAGTCAATACAACCTTACTGAACGAAATGATCCCTATCTCAGCTTATGTGTGTCCGAGCACTTTAATATTTTCCAAAGTATTATATGACATTTTATTCTTCATGTTACACCTACGAATGATTCATTTTGACCATAGGGATATTTGCCAATAATTGCACCTTGTCCTTTAGATGTCAATTTTTCCTTATTATACACAAATAGAAGATCCTGAAACTTCACTCATAAATGTGAAATTGATTTGTCAAAATAAAAATATCCCTTCTATAAATGTGTGACGAACAATAATATAATAATGCTATATAACAGTTAGAGGTGTTGAACACCAGAAACGAGCGTTCGATTTGCTAAACGATATGCATCACCCTAGAGGAATTCAAATTTTGGTCAAAAGTCATTTTTTCGAATATTTCAATTTTTAAAATTCAGTGGCCATTTTGAATCAAGGCCCCATTTTGAAATAATCTATCAGGTAGACTTCCTTCACATGTAAAGCATAAAATTATATATAATTATGTAGACATTTATCAGTATTTAAATCAAAGTATATGTTCCTACAAAATCCATTCAGTGGCACAATGGTTAGATTACAAATACATTTAATTTCATTTTACATGTACAAGGCCCTTTAAATAAAAGTAGGTCATAAATTCCTGTGCAAACACAAAAGCTGACCATTCAAAGGAAGGACATCAGCCGAGTAGGTGCATTCATTCAATTGTGACTCCCTTGAACAAGAAGACAACAGAATGAAGATCTACATGTGTTTGATGGTGCTAGTATGTGCCACTATACCAAACATTGTCTCAGCTGGAACTATAACAGGTAAAAAGTTTATGTTGTTGTTATCTGAGGAAATGGTAGTCATATCTTGAAGCATGCCAAACCCTTTCTCTGTATATTTAAAACAATAATCTGTTTTTTACATAAAATTGAATTTAGAATGCTGATTCTAGGTTTGTAAATCCTATATACATATGATGGTGATCATTTGCTTAGAATTGATTCAAATGAGTATATTATAATTCAGACTCCTAGTTTAAGGCGTGGCCTTAAGAACAAGAATGCAAAGTTTCCTAGTAAAAGTTCAATTTAACCAGTGGTATTTTAAGCCTGGCTTAAGTGTTCTTCGACTGGGCACCATTTGCACAATTATGATAAAATATGACGAAAAAATCACCATTTGCACAATTATGATAAAATATGACGAAAAAATAACCATTTGCACAATTATGATTAAATATGACGAGGATTTTTTTTTGATTCATTTAACATTTGCTAACAGGCAGTAAGTCACCCATTCCCTCTAAATGATCAGTTAGAATTTAAAAAGGGGGATGACTTACTCCCCATGACTTTGGTCTCACTATGAAGGTCTGATTAAGTTTTTGACATCCTCAATCAGTTAAGAAAAGTTTGAAGAAATATTGTAAAACAAAATGATATTTTGAAATCAGCTTAATGTTAGAAAAAAACTGGCTAAATCCATCCAAATCATAAACAGAGCGAAAAATGAAGAAGGATGTGGAGAAAAAAATCAGATTACAAAAATGGTCCAGAACAGACCAAATAGACCATATCATTTTAAATTAATGAACATTATGTTCCCTTCATTGACTTTAATATGTGTAAGGCCCTCAACTCAAAGGATTCAGTGAAGCCACTTATTTGGTTCAGGCTTATTCACTTATGCACTTATGTACTTGATATCACAGAAGATTTGAAAGGGATTTAACTTGAAAATAAACAGTAAGCACTATACAAAATAAAGTATCCTGGTTACTTTTTGACAGTTCCCAATATCATTTATAATATTTTATCAAATAGTAATTATCTCATGGATATTGAAATTCCAAAATTATGCAAATTTCTACATTTGGACAGCCATTTTTTTAATAAAAATTGTTTCAGGCAACAATCTTAGAAACACTTTCACTTGCAATAATAGCATACTTTGAGTATATTTTTATATTATATCAATATATGGACTACTAGTTCCATCTATTTTGGCCTAAAAGATATGGATACATCAAAACTAGTAAAAATTCTCTAATTGACCACCATTTTGTATTTTCAATGCATGAATCAGAATTCTTTTTTTGCAGAGAGCAGACAGAACTGACCTTCGGGGGTGAAATTGCAGATTCATGAATTTAATTCCGCAGAATTTTTTGCAGAATTGACAAGTTTCTGAAAGTATGAAAAAAGAGCCTTACCTCGGTCAGTTATTTAACACTTTCTGGGGGTGAATTCCTCACAAATCACTCACTTATGACCAAAAAACGCAAAATAACTTTGTCATGTTTTTGTTTTGTTTTTTTCTCTTGCTAGATGGCAGCTTACATTATTGACTATTTATACATATCATTATATTTTAAACTCAATCCCATATATATTTACATTAAATGCCAAGAAATCCTGCAGACTCCCCAAAGAATTGGCCTTTTTCCCTTCCAGAATTCACCAATTTCACTTGAAGAATTTGGCATTTTAACTTGCAGAAAAGTAGGGAAAGTGACTATTTGGTATAAAATGAGATTATTTTATTCTATTCATAATGTACATGGTCACTAATTTTCAGCATTAAGGAGAACATTGGAACTTTACTCCGCTGAAGTTGATGTTTCAACCAGGGCGTACAGTAAGGTAGCAGGCCCCTGTCCTAGTGCAAGTGGTACATGTAATGGAATATGCTGTGCCTCTGACTCTGGCACCGCTTGTACAGCTGCATCACCTTGTTGCATTGAGCAAGGCACATATCCTGGGGTTTATTCCAGATGCATTAAACGTATGTTTGTGTCTTAGATATATTAAGTAGGGCAAATTTATTTATATTTTAAGTCATCTCAAAATATTTATTCAAATACTTTCAGTAGAAGGCATGTATGCCAGGCCTCAACATTTTGAAAAAGATCAACATTTTTAATAATGGCAAAAACAACCAGATTTGTACAAAATTTTTAGTATGAGTTTTTTTGAATAATTTTTTGAATTTGCATTCCAGAATCAAAGAGGGAGTTAGAGCTAATCCAAGATGAGATGGATGTTTCAACCAGGGCCTACAGTAAGGTAGCAGGCCCCTGTCCTAGTGCAAGTGGTACATGTAATGGAATATGCTGTGCGTCTGACTCTGGCACCGCTTGTACAGCTGCATCACCTTGTTGCATTGAGCAAGGCACATATCCTGGGGTTTATTCCAGATGCATTAAACGTATGTTTGTGTCTTAGATATATTAAGTAGGGCAAATTTATTTATATTTTAAGTCATCTCAAAATATTTATTCAAATACTTTCAGTAGAAGGCATGTATGCCAGGCCTCAACATTTTGAAAAAGATCAACATTTTTAATAATGGCAAAAACAACCAGATTTGTACAAAATTTTTAGTATGAGTTTTTTTGAATAATTTTTTGAATTTGCATTCCAGAATCAAAGAGGGAGTTAGAGCTAATCCAAGATGAGATGGATGTTTCAACCAGGGCCTACAGTAAGGTAGCAGGCCCCTGTCCTAGTGCAAGTGGTACATGTAATGGAATATGCTGTGCCTCTGACTCTGGCACCGCTTGTACAGCTGCATCACCTTGTTGCATTGAGCAAGGCACATATCCTGGGGTTTATTCCAGATGCATTAAACGTATGTTTGTGTCTTAGATATATTAAGTAGGGCAAATTTATTTATATTTTAAGTCATCTCAAAATATTTATTCAAATACTTTCAGTAGAAGGCATGTATGCCAGGCCTCAACATTTTGAAAAAGATCAACATTTTTAATAATGGCAAAAACAACCAGATTTGTAGAAAACTTTTAGAGTGAGTTTTTTTTAAATAATTTTTTGAATTTGCATTCCAGAATCAAAGAGGGAGTTGGAGCTAATCCAAGATGAGATGGATGTATCAACCAGGGCGTACAGTAAGGTAGCAGGCCCCTGTCCTAGTGCAAGTGGTACATGTAATGGAATATGCTGTGCCTCTGACTCTGGCACCGCTTGTACAGCTGCGTCACCTTGTTGCATTGAGCAAGGCACATATCCTGGGGTTTATTCAAGATGCATTGCAGGTATTGTTTGTGTCTTAGATATATTGAGTAGGGCAAAGGTCCATGTGCAGTATGCCAAGTGATTTTAGACAGTCATATCTTTCACCACGAGTACTTTCTGGCCAGATACATATTGTTTTAATAAAAACCACTGTATTTATACCCAGAAAGTACTCATGGAGAAAGATACGACAGTCTAAAATCACTTGCCATACTTCACATGGTCTTTTATTCATTTTCTAAGTCATCTTAAAATCTTTTTTAGAATTCAACTTCTATTATTAATTATTCCATCAATTAAAGAATAATAACATTTTTCTAATTCATGGGAACATATTTTCTTTAGACCAAATCCTTTTTGATATATTTGACACATGACATTTCACAAATTAATGTTTAATATCATTTTCCAGATAACAAACGTGAAATGTATTTGAGAGACATGCTGAATAACCTCATCAAACGCATCTCCAAAGAGAACAAATAATTGGAACATTCCAATGAACTGGATCACATACTCAACTCTTATCTACCATTAACATTGGATTTCCGTTACTATGGATATAATGATGTCATATAATAACAATGGACTTAATAATGCTGAACTTTTCAGAAGTTTCTGTTAAGGACCCCCTTGTTAATTCAACCTACCTAACATACATTTATTCTGTCATTTAAACACATATTGTAAGTAGACTTGTGAAAAACATCATTAAACAAAGTATAATGCAGTGAAATATTAATTAGGTAGATCTAAGCATACTTAACCTAGAAATTAACAGAGTAGTTTAACTAAATAGATTGTTATGTAGTACATTATAAAGTGTGAAATGAGAAATATGGAGAATTTCAAGAAATAAATACCATTTAAACACAAAATTATTTCTATTTTTATGTGTTAATGCCTTTAACTGAAGAAATAGTAGCCTAAAGGTGCAAAAAGCAAAATGGTGGAACAATTTTATTGGCAGTTGATGATATATCATTTATATGTGATTAATATTGTAAAACCTGTTAAGTGGACGCAGCAAATGGAACAGCTCCATAAGTGCAATACTTTTGAAAGTCCCGTAACTAATAAGATGAACCTCTGTAGGTGGAACACCTCCCAATAGGAACATATCTTTGAAGTACGAAAATAGTTCAATTTACAACTGTTGCTGTTGTACATCTTTATTTTTTAAATTTCATACTTGCTGTTATACCTGACATTTAAGAGAGCTCATTAGTATAGTCAATATAACAACACTCACCCATACAATGGTCCATCATTCCCTATGGCTGATACCATAATTACTTTGTTGGCTGTCAGCTCCCAGACTTTATCAACAAAGGGATGGTCCATAAAATCTGGCCCACCGATACTCAGGTTGAGGACGTTGATTTTCTTCAGTATTGCATAATTGAAAGCGTCTAGGAACCAGGATGTATAGGAAACCTAAAAAATCAGTTCAATCTTTGTATGTATGTAAATTAAACTTGTAAAAGGAAATTGTTCTCATTCATAGAATTGGAATATGTCATCAAATAGAAAAAACGTAAGTCCGAAGTGAATAAATATGCATAGAAACATATGTAAATGTTCAAATGGACGCACACAATTGTTGTGCAGCTGATAAAAAGTGTAGAATAAAAAAATATATATGTTATCTTAAAATCTCACTGAAATACGATTTCAGCAAGATACCATAGCTATATAGCAAAGCCTCTTTTAAGGAATATAACAGTATCAAACAAGACATTAACATGCAATATTTTACCACCTGGCATTTGTTACAGACACCGACTGCCAAACAACAACTACCAAACACCATTCACAAAAAAAGTTGGAGACACTTCTGGTGGTGACATAATTATTTAAAAGTTAAACATATTTAATTCCATGAAGGCCTACGTCTACGTAAAATGCACACTTTGGGACAATATTTTTTTATATTATACTTGAATCATTGAATAATACCTGATTATTAGTGAAGACTCTGAAGATATAGAGGTCAGCATCTGGTGCAAAGCCCATACATTCCCTATGACTAGAAATCACACCTGCTACAAATGTTCCATGGCCCAATCCTGGAAAGCCAGCAGAGAATTATACACATATCAAATGAAAGCTTGTTCAATTCTGGATGTATAGAGCCAGAAATACTCAGAGAGCTCATTGTTCTCCCTTAGAGTTTTTCTCAAGTGGGTGCAAAACTCTTATTTTAAAAATTCGTTTTTCATGATTTTTCTTATTTTCATGAGGGTGCAAATGGATTTTCAGGTGGGTGCCAGCCTGTTTTCAAAATCTCAGATGGGTGCTGTGCTCACTTGCTTTACTGAGCTCTTAATAATATAATGGGTTATATAGCAATCTGCTTCTCTCTTTTAATCCATGAATCATGCAAATTGAGGTGATATACACAACCAAACATAAGTTCACAAATCATGTTCCAAATCATGATCAATCATCCCAACATTTGAAACATAGTTCCAGAATTGAATAAGCTTTATTAGAATGAAAAAATTATGGGGTCATGTTATCTAGGATTGACTTTGGATGGGGGATGATCATTATAAAACAACATGTACATTAAAGGAAAAATTTTCACACTTTTCACCCAAATCTACCCATTTAGTTTTTAGCTATTGATTAAAACATGCAACAAACTTACCATCATCCAATGTTTTCTCATTGGTCCAGTTGGTTCGGTCTTTGACACGCCCACTCTTGAAATGAGGATGGTCTACTGACAGTCCAGTGTCAAATATAGCTACCTTGATTCCTGCCCCTATAACAGTAAAGAGAAAAGACACTAAGAACAGGTTTTCGTCTCAACAATAACTTTTATAATTACATGTATAATACACATTGTGGCATTTGTGAAGAATGTGAATATGTAAATACCTGTATAGCCCATCCCCCATAGAACCTCTGCTTGGAGGGCAGTCGTGATCTGCCTGGGGATTGCTCGCAACAATTTACGATTTTTGTGACGTACTTCAGAGAACCAAAATGCACCAGCCTGTAAAAATAGTATAACGAGAGGTTTACAACTGAAGGGCCCTTTACTTCTGTATGTATATCTAAATATTTTGCTCCAAGGCATTTTTCCATTTTAACATTTGAACTACACAACTGCCATCTTTATACAAGTAAATAACTTACAAGAGAGGAAGGCCCCCTATGTGTCCTCGGTCTGGAAGAGTGGTATTTCTGTGTCCAACATGGGTCTGCTTTGTCTGATTCATTGCAAGGTGGTCCCTTATGAGATTGCAAGTCTTCTTTATCAACTTCATTCCCTTCTGCTCTATCTTCATCTGTTTCATTGACTGCAAAATCAATCTTTTTAGTTAATTATCAAATATTAATTCATCCCCCAACCACAGGGCTCGAAGATCCAGAATATCATCTTTCACTTTAGGAAGAAGGAGAAACAAGTTCTGTAGCCCTGTGTTCAGAGGAAATGAGACAGTAAATATTTAACACTACAGCATTATCACTAGATAATATATCAAAGTATCATTCTGATAATTGAACATATCAAATATCACATTGCTCAGCTGGTTACTTCGACATTATCAATCTATCCAATCTCAGTCCATCAGTTAATAGTATGATATATGATAAACTGTATTTGCTATTACACTATACTCTGATATATCAAATGGAAAGAAGCAGACAAGTGAATAGAACTATACAGTGATCTCCCCAGCATTAAAGCAAGTGGGCACAGCACCCACCTGAGATTTTGAAAATAGGCTTGCACCCATCTGAAAATCCATTTATAAAAACTTGAAAATGAAAAAATCATGTAAAATGGGCATATTTTGACCAATTTTGGTCTGAATTGTGAAAATGAGAATTTTGCACCCACTTGAGAAAAAAACTATATTTCAATATGCGAGTAACCAGTTTCTGTGGTGTGACTTATCATGTTAATTGTATGATTGTACACTTACTATATTTTAATGTGCGAGTAACCAGTTTCTGTGGTGTGACTTATCATGTTAATTGTATGATTGTACACTTACTATATTTTAATGTGCGAGTAACCAGTTTCTGTGGTGTGACTTATCGTGTTAATTGTATATGACTGTACACTTACTATATTTTAATGTGCGAGTAACCAGTTTCTGTGGTGTGACTTATGTTAATTATATGATTGTACACTTACTATATTTTAATGTTCGAGTAACCAGTTTCTGTGGTGTGACTTATCATGTTAATTGTATGATGCACTTACTATATTTTAATGTGCGAGTAACCAGTTTCTGTGGTGTGACTTGTCTTATATTGAAATGGTTCTCCAATGCATCTATGCCATCTGCAATGTGTGACCCAATCTGAAAAGATGTAAAAATATTTTTCAATATCTGTTATTTTTGGTGAAGATAATGTGCTCTAGCTAGATTGTAATACAATAAGAGAAACGATAATTGTACAAAGTAACTTTTATGCATTGCAAATAAAGACTCACATAAAAACTAAAATGTGGTAATATAGGATATAATAAAATTGATATAATACATTAAAGGTAATTTGTTAGATAAATACTGCTATGCAGTGTAGTCTGAGTAAGTCTTTCATTGGTACAACAGAGATTAAATGTAAATAAATTTTATTTAATTTCATTAATTCTACTCAATGATAGATAACAAATAAAACTTGAATAAAACATTAAGTTGTCAACATCAAAAATATTCCCAAAAACAATATTTCTACCCTGCCTATCGCTTTGTGAGTACAATATACACTGTATATACAGTACCTTTATTAGTTCAAAATCACTTGGGTAGTCTGTGGCCGGATTGTGACGGGGAAGCAAGTGCCAGGATGTAACTCCAGCTTCGCGTAAAGCAGCAGATATAAACCCAGCTCTTGCTGAGTTACTATAGTAACCCTTGAAGGCGACTATAAACTCTGAAATGTGTAAATAACAGAAACTTTAAGCCCAACTTTAAGTATTTTATGAATGAAAGTGACACAGACTTTTTCAGCAGTACAATGATATATAATCATATATCTGTATATAGTGCTGGTTTTAGCACCTTTCATTATGGTCATATTTGCTAAGTTATCCAAGACAGTTACATAATAATGATTAAGGTATCATTTCATGGAGGACAAATTAGGCTTTTTACTGCAACCCTTGTATTTCAGAAATATTGCTAAGGATTCTAGTAATCTGCCTCTGAAATTGGATATACTTTTTTATGGACAACCTGTATGTAAGATTTACCTGAAGTTGAACACTAAGAAAACAAAAAATTGCTATCAAATGTATTTTTTATTGCGAACTTTGACTTGTTTAATTGCTATTTTTGTTCATAAAAACCAAAAGCAGAAATTTAAATTCATTATTAAACTATTTGCAGTTGATCCATTTGCTTACTATTGACAAAAATCCATTTAAAAAATCCAAAGAGCGAAACAACCATTTGAGTACCAAATTCTTGACTATATCGTTTAAATAGTCAATTGATCAATAACTTAATTTATTGCCAAAACTTTTCTGTTTTGCCATTTGAAAAAAATAACAAAACAACATGCAAAATATCACCACAATTTGTTACAGACGCAAACCGCTAATCGCTAACCACTGATCGCCAACTGCCATCACAAAAATTGGAGACCATAACAATATGTCATTTAACTAAAACTCAATAAGTGTCAGCCTTATCATCAAAAGAATCTACACATTTTAAGCTTTTAAATCATTCAGTCCCAAGTAAATAATTAATTAATTATCTCATGGATGAATATAAATAAATGGTTGAATTCCTTTGTTAATGCGATAATCTTTATAATATACATAAATCCTACCATTTTCTACAATCTGGCTTGAGAATTCCACCTGCACTCTTTGCTGTCCAGTGTTTGTTCCATTCATGCATGACTGCCTTGAGTTCACTTTAATCTTGGGCTGACTTGCATTGCAGTCACATAATAATATGTGAACAAATAGAAGAATAACTATCCATGTTTTCTTGTTCATTATGCAAGAAGACCAAGAAAATCTTGCAATGTTTCTGGTAATGTCCATCCTTGTTTGCTAACCATACCCCATCATTGATTCATCTTTTTAGTTTCAGCATTATTTCTTGCTTCATGTAGAATGAAATACTTAGTCATACTCTGAAAGTAAAGGAATTCTTGTCATAAGCTTATATATAATTATTTATGCAAACAGCGCATATAGTATAAACATGTCAACATTTCTGAAAATGACCTACTTTCAGACCTACTTTTGTTATATAGATCTTTTATCTTTGTGTAATTGCTAAGCACTCAATATTTTTCTATTGCTATTCATATTGGTCCTTTGGTATGTTGAATGTGAATTCAGCAATCTGAAGTTCACAACAACAAAAATTGTTATAAGCACGCAAGGAAAACAATATATGCCAAATATCCATAATTCTTTGCAACTGTGGAAAAAAGTTGATCATTCCGAAAGTAATATATATACATGTACAGTGGAACACCTCTACAAGTGGAACACTTCTGTTAGTGGAACACCTCCAAAGTGGAACACATTTCAGAGGTACCAATGTGTTCCACTTAGACAGGTTTTACTGTATATTGCACTTCATTCATCTGAACAGGAATAAGAATTATCACTTAAGTTATCAAAGGGCTTCATTTATTTTTCAATGTGGAAAGAAGTGAAATACTTTTGGACCAAGGATGATAGGAATATATATACAGAATAAAATTTGAATATGTTATCAATCATAAAAATTTCTGAATTACATTACATGTAACAAGTGACATTTTAAACAATTGAGAATTTTTATTTCTGAAATATACAAATGTTTTGCGTGTAAAATATGAATCAATTTTTCCATGTAATATTGATCTTTTGATTGCTTATTTTTAGGTTTCATTGACACACTATTCAAATGACTCACACATCAGGCCCGTAACCAGGGGGGGGGGGGTTCGCAGGGTTCGGGCAAACCCCCCCTGGCCAAAAATTCTTTCAAAATCATACAGTTTTTCACCATTTTGAGCACTTCTCAAGTGATTATCACCATATTTGGACCAAAATTGTCAAATGTGAACCCCTCTGGAAATTTTTGAAAACTGAACACCCCTTGGTAAATCCTGGCTACGGGCCTGCACATAATACAACTTCAGAAAATTACATTGCTAATAATGTCAAAGAGATCATGAAGATACATTTTTGTTCATTTAGGTCTAATTTCTGATCAATTATTTTGCATCCATGGATTTTGCCGAAATCTTAATGCTGATATTTTAGAAAAGCGGCATTCTTACCACACTTCATATCTCTAGCAGGGGTTTTACTAGAATTTCTAACAAAAGGCTTAATAAATGAAAAACAACAGGCAAAATTAATGGAAATCATAAATTTATCATGGGAAAGTTGAAAAGATCCCTAGAAACTATTTAAAGGCCCCATATAAAGTTTAAACCACTTTGGCTTATATTGTAGTCTTACCCAATGTTATCAAAGTGTGATATGTGAAACTTTTTTTTTAAATTTCAAAAAGTGGTTTTTGATAGATGTTCCAAAATTTGTGAATTTATTTAAAACCAACTTTTAGAGGTCACTCATATCTTTTAATTAGCCACAATTCATACCAATGCATAGCATTCATCCTCCCATGTTTTTTGCCGAAAAAATTAAGAAAATCGGTTCATAAATAAGCGAGAAATGAACTTATCAGTGCATGAAAATGGTTCTGAGAAAAATGCATTTCAAAATTTTAGTTTTCATAGAAACCAATGGTACAATGATATCTAAAACATAATTTATTTTTTCCTTTTAACCTGGTTAGACAATCAAAATTTTTTTTTCTATGAAAGTCTAACATATTTAGAAAAGATTGACATCGAAAAAAAAATTTCAATTTTTTTCAAAAAGTTTTTGGTACCTTAGTGACATCACTAATGTTTCAAAATATTTTTGATATGCTAAAACATTAAAGTGGCCCATTAAATATGGCATTTTATTATTGAAATGGTGTGTCCTTTGTTCAACCTTTGCATTGGTGTTAAGAAATGCATTAAGAAATATTTGATGATTAAGAAATTTCAACTTTTTTTGAAAAATGGCGGGAAATTTGATTATTTGAGAAATGAAATGCTCACAACTTTTTTTTCAAAATTTTTTTTTGTTCAAAAATCTCTAAAATCACTTTTTAAGTCCTGACAAATAGTAAATGAATGATAAAAAAATATTTTCAAACTTTAGACGGGGACTTTAAATTTTTGAATATTTCTGGCTTATGTCATTCCTTTTCATGTCTATTTGCTTATAATCCCCAAAGTGCACACTTTATTTCAGGAAAACTAAAGATTTCTACAATAATATATTATTTTTCTATGAGAGGGCTTACCATTCTTATTATTTGGGAGAATTTAAACATTTTTCACCCATTTTTGCACTTTGATTCCATTTTAACTCTATCAATTTTTAACACATCGTGAATCTTTTTGGAGATATAATATTTGAGATGTAAGGAATAGATTGGTAGGTGAATTGTACATGTTGCTTGTAATTTTGTCACTCCCATAGATCTGATTCAGCATATATCTGATTCTGCCTTTAAATAGGTAGTAACTTTATATGGTATAGTTTGCTTATGCTTTTACATTCCATTGGTTTGCGTTACACTCACTGCAGTGGAACTCTTCAAACTACTTTGCATATCCATTTCAAAAAAATGTCGCAGCTAGCCTTTTATTTTTCCATGATTTCAAGAGATCTTAACAACCTTTTTGGGAAAAAATAGTTAACATCTGAACTCTTGGCCGTTACGTTTATGTAATGATAGTGAAGAATTATTTTGATCATTCTAGCATCTCTGGAACAATTCGTTCACAAAAACAAAATGCTTTCGTCAATGCAAAAAATCTATATGAATGGCTATTGACAAAAATGAGCCAATGCAAAAAATATCAGGAAGTTATTGAGGTGTGTAATGCAAGCCATAAACCAGCAGATTGTAAAAGCATATTAGCAAATTCTGCAAATTGCAAAACCATATTAGCAAATTTCGCAAAATGTTAAAGCTTATTAGCAAATTTCACTAATTGGTATTTTGTATGATAGTTTGCTTAGGTTAAAACACCTCAAATCTTCCTATATACAAGGTCTTCTTGTCACATTTATGGTCTATAGCAAACAGTATGTTGGACAGAATGTTACACGCAAACGTGGAAGGAATCCAATGTCAATATCAACGGGAAATCATTAAAAGGTCTGTCAGCATTTTTTCTGTCTATGTTTTATGGTCTCGGGAGAAGGTTCCCCGGGATTTAGGTAATTTGATTGTGAATATCGGCAGAAATAAGTTATGTTCTAGGGTTTTCTATTTAGCTACTGAAAATAGATGTTAGCCATGATGTAATTTGATGAAAGAAGACTAGATCTATCCAAACTTCGATATATTTTGACACTAGGTCCATGATCGTTAGATACGTCTCTGCACTACTTAACCTAAAAGCACCAGCTTAAACGTTCTCTCAAAGCCAAAAAAAGAAGCGACTATCTCAAATTGCAGAGATATAGACTTCAATCTTTAAATTACCGGACTGTGGTTGCATTGAACGGTTTATTGTACATGACTAGATTGATCTTATATTACTTTTCCCTTGGCCTATGAACAAATTCTACTTGTTACACAGCGAGTGGGGATTTCCTTATTAGTAAAACTCTACTCTCTGTTCCGATGCCTGTAGACCATGTCTGATAAGGCCAAGCCATGTTTTTTCTTTTCAGTGTTTTTCATGAAAAAAATTAGTCAACTTTTTCGTTTGTTTTGGCACTAAAATGAACAGCAAATAGAATATATGCTTACCCTTTGGATGGATCATATGACATCTTTGTATGATACATTATCTATAGCGCTTCATTGTGACTACGATTGTGTAAAATGTATGAAAATTGAAAGAATTCTAACTTCACATTTTCTCATGAAAACATTACCTCACAAAGTAGCAATCTGATTGGTCGAGACAAAACTTACGCATTGCAATCTGGGTAAAATTCAATATGGACGACCAGGTTTGGAAAATTTTGGTAATATAATTTGATATTTTATTGAATAACTTCTGATATAAACGTTTATCAATATTATCATTATAGCTATATGAACTTCGATACAGAAGCTTCATATTCATATTGTTTGATGAGTAACTGAAGCATTCATTGTTTCAAATTACTGCGTGCTTTTGAGGACATTATTTCTTTCATTTTTCAGTTTCACCTCAGATTCATTTAGGCTAATTATTTTCAATGTCCCGTGTTCTTAATTTGATTATAACGACTATAACGGATCACAGCAAAGCTAAATTATGTTAGACTCTATCAGAAATAATGCGTTGCTTGAAGAGGTACCACCTGATGTAAATTTGAATAGATAATTTGTTGCCACCCTGCACGACATGTAAGTCTACCCCTTACTTCCTGCGAAAGCTATGTGGATTTTGATATAATAGCTTTCCCACTGCGCACTTGGACAGCTGAATAATAGTGACCTTTAAAACATGAATAATGAGATCCGCGGCTTACTTTTGGTCTCTAACTGTTTCTTACAACAGTAGACTATCATCAATTCGTGCAAGTATTGAAGCGCTGAAATACTTCTTTTCAATCAAGACTTGTAAATTGTTCATCGAGTGAATGTTTTTTCAACCCATTTCCAATATGGTGGTTTGCTAGGAGCGAGATACGCAACGAATGAAATGAATTTTGAGAATGAGTTAGGTTTGGACAACCTCCGGAGATTTACGAAAATGTCAGAGCAGAAAAAGCCATATTGGAATTTGACAGAAAAAACATTCATTCGACTAACAATTACAAGTCTTGATCGAAAAGGAAGTACTTCGGCGCTCCAATACTTGCAGGGAAGGACTATAATGATGTATGACATGGTTAGAGAACAAAAGTAAGCCGCGGATCAACTTAATTTGTGTTTCAAAGGTCACTATTATTCAGCTGTCCATTTCTCCGTTGGAGAGCCATAAGTTTCAAAATCTAACATGGCTCTCGAAGTGAGTAATCTACCCCCATAAATGTGAGGCTGATTTTCAAATCACCCTATCAACTACTGGTGTATTGAAAACTTAGGGTTGTAAAATATTGTCAGTAGTTGACTCAAAGCTGAATTTTATCTAAATAACCCCTAATCCAGCTTATTTTCAACCCCAACTTCAATACAGATGTAATTGTGGGGGTGATTTGAAAAATCAACTCTACATTTATGGGGTACCCTGCATCCATTGCACGGATAGTAGGAAGTTCTACTATAAGCTGATAACAGTCTACTATAAGCTGATAACAGTTTGAGTCATGGATTTGTTTCTTATATTAAAGTACATTGTAACAGAATTTTCAAGAGGCCGTGTAAAATGAACTAGTTTTAAAATGGTGATAGAAAATCGACTACTCACTTATTTATTTATGGTCCAAACTGTATAAATAATATATGCCAGGTTATGAAAGTGAAGTTCCCTTCCATCTTTATAGCTATTGCACATGCATAAATCACCTAAATAAACATAATAACTCCTCAAAATGGTCTCATTTTTTGGTGTCACATTTAATCATGTTTCATATGATTTTTACAGGCAGGAGTTGGATGAATAAATTGCAAAGCCTTGGGATCTATGTCTAAAGTTCATGAACAATAATAGCTGTATATAGTTCCACAGTATGTGAGCAATGGCATCTCAAGAAAATGACACAAATGACATTCAGAAGGATAGAGACCAATCTGAAAAAGAAAAGCCTGTTAAAATGAAAAATAAAACAGATGAAAATTGTAAATTACAAGGCACAGAATTAAATAAAGGAAAAATACCAACTTCCAATATTCCAAATGGTATCACCATGCCAACTGAACATTCTGAGACATCACCACATGTGGTGAATGGACACATTGATACAAATGGTCCAAACGGGGACGAAAGAGATTGTAATGTACATATTGGAATACAAAATCTACAAGAATCCTCAGTCAATGGACCTTCGAATCATCTCATAAGAAGTAATACCAATACTTTACATACATCAAATGACAGTCAACATATAGAACCAGCTAAACAAATTCCTCCAATGCCCACATGTAGAAATATTGCAGAATCATCTAGTCGTCTCTGTAGTGTGTACCACACTCAGCAAAATCCTGTCAAGAATAGCAAGCGCTGGGATTGCTGTGCAATTGACTGTGGCAGGGTGGTCGATTTTAATACACTATTTTGTCAAGAATCTTCCCAGGATGCAAAAAAGGTTAAAAATGATAAACTGATGGAGTTCCTTACAGGACTGCCTCCACTTATATCAGAGGAACTCCGTGTTGAGTACCTACTCACATACGGTGAATATTTGAGGAAGTATGGACTTCGTTATAATAACGCAAAAGATTTATGGTACTTGCCCCCCTGTTCAAGAACATGTGAATCATGTAACAGAATCCAGTGTCAGTCAGAAATTAGCAACCCGGGTGATGCAATGAACTCTTATCTTAATGATAATGCTCACTTACTGGAAAGCAATGAGTTCCAGATTACAAGACCTTTGGTTAATGGGAGCAATGTTCATATGAGATTACAAGAGGACCCTCCCAGTAGGCAAATTGGTGCATCAATACAAGCTACACGTGAGGGGGTGGAACATGGGTGTCAAAGCCCCATACAGGATGATAATCCAACCCTATACAACAAACAATTCAACAGTCAAAATAATCAAGATACTTCTGATTCTAAAGCTGAACTTTACCCTGATAGGAAATTCAGTGAAGCTGATATTGATAATCGGACATGTAAAGATACAGTCTTGGATTTCCAGTGCCATAATACCCCTGATACTGCCCAGTGCTATAGTACCCCGGATTCTCCCCCTCCACCATTTCATACTGTTATTAATGACAATGAAGTTCAAGAAGATGAAGGAGATTTTATTGAAGTGGACATATTAAACACTCCCAACAATGATTTTAGTGATAGTGACTCTGTTAATTCTGAAGGAATTGGGGGAAGCCCTTCATCTGCCAACCATTGCCATAGCAACATGGTTGCTCAGAATGAGGCTGTAAGCTTGAGGAATTCCCCTATTCAGAGGCTGAATGTTCAGCCTGCCTTGGATGATGGTTTTGATGATACTGTTGATAAAATAAGTGATAAAGATTCCAATTATAGTGATACTAACTGTGATCGATTGTCTCCTGTACAAGGAGATGAAAACCTAGAAAATGACATGAACTCCAATAGTGAAAACTTTGAGTCTAACAGAGAAGATTCTGAACCATATAGAGATAATATTGATCAAGATGGTAATAGTTCTATGAAGTTACATCTAAAGGGGACATCTCAAAACTTGCCTGAAGCATCATGTTGTAGAACACCTGATTCACTTTATTTCTCTCCAATGGATTTTATGGAGTTTGACATTGACCCTGGATCGGGTCTATTCAATAGTACCGACTCAGATAGAGAGAGTCTACTTGATAGATTAGATGATTTACAACCTACTGCTAAACAAGTGCCTGTGGAGAATGACAGTCATAATAACGCAGTTAGAGAGACAATAAAACTTGAGGATGATGTAGATGGGGCCAGTCCTGAGCCAGAAGGAGCATCTGGAGAAAACCAGGAGTACATCACATTGGATCTCTCAACTGAACCTGCCCCTACGAATAACCTTGATGAAGCCTATATGATTCCTAGACCTGGTCACTTTCATGAATATTTCAATGTGTCTTGTACATCAGTCGAGGATAATGCTTCACCTTCACACGTGTATCCTCGCTTTGCTTGGGATACTTCCTGCGATCCCAGTGGTCCCAATGATAACAGTACAGAAAGGATTGATCGTGAACGGTTGCATTTTATGCTTGAGATGCAACGTGAACACCGACATAGAAGCTCCCCACATTTATCTCATGAAGTGCCATCATCCGTCAATCACTTACACTTTCCTCACCAGAGGGAGCCACAACTTTGTGTCGAGCGGGAAAATAATGCAACTTTACCATGGTCCAATGATCAGCAGTCTAGGTAGATATAAAACTAAATATAGAATATTTATGATTGTACAGGGGTGAGATCTTTAATTTGATATGTTTTTTTTTCATACTTGTTTTTTGCATGCATATAACATCTTTTCTGAAATCATCATACATATTTTTTTCTCCTTAACATATAATATGTAATTGATTTATATGTATTGTTCTGTTTAACCTTAAAGTATAAGACTTGGTCGGCACGTATGTAGTTGAAGTATTTGGTAGCTCATTTTATAATATTTTCAGTGAATAAAAATTGAGAATTTTAATATTTGTATATATTTTTGTTTCCAGTCAAGATTTGTGTGCTGGAGGCCTATCTCCCAATAATCCTGTCTCTACCCATGACCCAATGTCCTTACCCCCGACAGAATTTTTCCCCTACCCATATGGTTACTATAGGCACACAAACATTGGCCGGAGTCTGACGTTTCCTGTTAGTCGCAGACTTCTACCTGGTGGCCGCAGAGATGGGTTTGAGAGGAGCCGGACTCTGGATGGATACATGAGCTCAGCTGTCCCAGTAGAGCAGGTAAACAAGCCTTAAATATTCCTCTCCAGTATTAGGTATTCGGACATATTGTTAGGATATCCAAGGCGCTGTTCAGCAGTTGGCGTCTGTAAAAAATGCTGGTGGTGACATTTTGCATGTTAATGTCTTTTATTTTTATGTCACCACCAGAAGTGGAAACATATTGTTATAGACTCCAACTTTTTTGTGGATGGCAGTTGGTGTCTGTAACAAATGGCAGGTGGTGACATTTTTCATGTTAATGACTTGTTCATTCGAATTAGTTGATAAACATTTTTGTTCAGAATAGTACATATTAGATAAATGTTTTCTAGATGGAGAACATGGTTTTAACAGGAGAATATTCCAATTCATCATCAAGTCTACGTACAGAGACTGATGAGGAGCAAAACCATGACCAAAATGAGGCTGATGCTGCTGTAGCGCAAACAGAGCCCCCTGTTGAGCGAGTCATGATTTGGAGCGAGTTGATTGCTTATGTTCGTCAAGCCAAACAAATAGGGACATCTGCATGTGGACCAACTGCAGTTATAAACATTTTAAAGGCTTTCAATCTTGAAATTGAAAAAGACCTTGTGTGTACGAACTGTAGATTGAAATTGAGGAAGGAGGGATGGCCACTCCCAGAATACCTTCATTCTCGTAGTGAAGCAGGTATGTGTCCATCATGCCCTCAAAATTATTTCATTTTTATTTAATGGTGCCATTGTTTCAAGAATTTTTCTAAGCTAAAATGCAAGCCCTATCCAAACAATACAATACATTTTACAATATTTTTGCTCTCATCATTCATTGTCATGCCTATTTTATAAAAGGTCTAACATTTCTACTTCATTTTAGGATATTCATTTAATTTTTTAGATTATGTGGCAAAAATATTGAAAAAGGGGCATCCATTTTCCTTTCTTACTAATGAATTTGGACATTTCTGCTGTAAAATCTTCAATTACTTCTTTTTGATCAGATCTTCTGAATAAATCAGAATTGTAAGGAAAATGTTGGCACGATCGCAAGAGGGGGAGAAACCCCAGGGTTCAAAGATGACATACGCTTATAATGTAAATCTGTATTGAGATGACATCGTCGCTGATTGGTTTAGCGAGTCGATCGTTGATTGGTTTAAAACTAGGTCAATTTTAAAACTTTGAAAACCAAGATGGAGGGTAAACAAATATACGTAATTCCGAGAATGGAGGTGCGCGAAGGAGGAAATCGTATATCATCAATTGAATCATGGGGTTTTCCCTCCTCTTCGCGATTGCCGAAGATTGCTTCCACCATTTTCCATTTCCCATCTCTTCTTTTTCATTTTACAGGCACTACTGCTGAAGATCTGACCAATGCCATATATAAGCTGACAGATGGACAAATTGTTGGCCGATTTTTTAGTTTTTACCCCCTGAGGGATGTACATATACTAAAATGGTTGGGGGAATGGATGAAACTAGGTAAGAATCTATAATCTTATTATACATGTAAAACTAACTGTCCTTACTTGACCTTATCTATTTTTTATTTTATAAACAAAATGATTTAATTTTGCAACTCAAAAAGTAACTGTAAAATCTTGAAAAAGATTTATAGAATAAATCGAAATATTGCAAAACTAAATTTTGTAATTATTATAACATATAAACAACAATTTTTTGATTTTATTAACAGGGAAATGTACAACTTTATTCTACTCATGGGCCATATTTTTCGGCTTACAGTCAGTTCATCTTTACTCTGTCTGTTTTTTGACAGATTTTTGTCATTGCCATTTTAGGAGAACCACTCATAGAATTTTCTTTAAATTTACACCCGTTAGATGGTCTGGTTCTATTCACATATGACATGTCATCACAATTTTCTGAGTCCTATTGATGTTTGTGAAATGCCAATTTTGAATCCAAAACTGAGACATTTCTTAAAAATAACTAGCGCCACTAATAAACTACAGAAATCACCTCTTATTTATATTGACACGTGTAGGTTGTTCTTGACAGTAAAATACATGATCTCAATTTATATTTATTTAGGTGCTGTACCCCTGGCCACTCTAAACTTACAGAAAGCGGTACCTCCAGGGTGGATTATACCAGATGCGTGGCATCATCAAATGGTCTATGGTGTTGCCCATGATGGTATGTATGCAAAGTATGACGCGTCATCAATTGTTTCTGTTTTCATATTCTTCATCATGATGCATTCTGAGCACAAGACTATCACTCATCAAATACCTTTTTTAGGGATATACCTTCTGTCATGTTACAGTAAAAATGAATCATTTATTGTTCATTATTGGCATGGGATTGGTTTGCCAAAATTATACAATCTAAAAGTTATTAGGTTTTGATTTCCAATAATACTAGTCATGGCATATTGTTATAGTCTCCAAATTTTTGTGGACGATGTTCAGTGATTGGTGTTTGACATTTGTCACCTGTAACAAATGGCAGGGGGTAACATTTTGCATGTTAATGCCTTGTCTTTGTTTGAGTTTTTGCTATGTTGAATTTAGGAGTATACCTGACCAATCCTTTAGATGTCGCTAGTGAGGAGAGGATCAGCAGGCAACTATGCAGTAACTCAGTGTTGATGATACGTCGGAACGACATACTCACACGCTACCATGAAGATATAGATTTAGGAGACCTGATGTCATTTCCTGATGAAAGATGGCGGGAATTGAATGTTTTAGGTATGAACACCTTTAATGTTACATGTTATGCACACACAATTTTTCACTACACATATTCTGTAAAGAATAAATATCTTAACAGAATGAGTCTTAAAATAATGAGTCATTAATGAATTATTGCAGAAATGACATCTTTGAAGACTCTGTACAGTTTTGTTTTCATTAACGATTCTGTAAAGAATATTCTTTACAGAAAATTACAGATTCGGTATAAAAACAAAAAAGTAAAAATCTTTACAAAATTTGATCAATGGGCATGGTTTCTTACAGTTTTTCTGTCTGTATGAACATGGTTCACATAGATATCCTAACAACTACACTATATGTTGAGACAATCAAAATAACTTTTCTGTATGGAATAAGTTAATTCTAGTGAGAGGGTTAGGTTGTATTCAATTGAATTGCTTTTTTAATGTGCCAGAATCAAATAGTGAATATTCCAATAAACACTTGCAAAGTCCTGTATTTACCTCATATTTGCTCAATATTAGTAATCCTTGTGCTGGGTGATATTGAGTTTTGCCAATGTCACATAAAACATCTGTTTAACATAATTGTACATGTCATACTTATACTTCAAATGGTTTTTAGTGAATTGAATAATCTCATCAGATGGTCTCCGTTTTGGCTTAGACGCAGCGTTTTCCCTGGTTATTTCCGGATTCATTTTTCCAATACCTCTGAAGAAAGAGGGCAGCATGTGTTCCATAGCCTTTAGAGTGAGATTGTACTCCTCAGTTAAGCCAATGAGCATGTGGTATTTTTCGATGTTTTGTTTTGCCCTAGGAATTCCGTATTCCATGTTAGAGCATTCAGGCTCATGACCGCAGAACCACTCGATGTATTCTCCAGCCATCAGAGAGCATTTTTCATCCAGAACAGCTTTATTGTTCATATTTTCCTTGACACATTGTTCGAATGTTTGACGTTTGACGGATGTCTGGTTCCTCTCTTTTATAAGTAACGACTTATCAAGTAGGTAATAGTACTTTGATAAAGCTTGTTCAAATGGCTCCCTGATTAAGTTGAAATAAATTGGTTGCTGGAATCCATAATTCTGAAAATTAACAAACTGTATATGTCGATCAAATATACATTTCTCTTTTGAATAGTTCCCGAATGAGTTCACAAAATTTGCGAGGTTTTCTTTATCGAGACGTCTTTGACCATGTATGGGCGACTTTATCATTGTGTAATTATTTTCATTACTGAGCATTCTCATGAAAACCTCCATTGTGTTAGAGCCACATTTAGGCATTTTGTTGTATAGCACAAGACGTGGATTAGCCTGGGGGTATAGATGAAATGTTGATTCCACTACGTTACTTGTCCCAGGTAATCCATCACTGACCAAATGCCCCATTGGTTTTGATTCTTTATGAATAGACTGTTCCTTACTTTCTTCATTTCTTTCTGTATTAAGTTTTTGACTATCTGATGTGATAACTTGTTGAACTTTTGATAGCAATGTTATTTTCACCATAGCAACCAGTATTATCACCAGGAGACCAACTAGTTTTACTCCAGTGCGAACCAAACCGTAGTTATATCTCTGACGGCCATTTTTGATACACTTTTCTAATTTTGCCATTATTGTCATTGGTATTTATGAATTTGACATGTATTCTTTACTGAGATAATAACCATAATGTACAATGTATTGTTGGTAATATAATGCTTCCTGAGGCAAATTTCTTACATTATAAATAAATCAATGTTGACAAGCTCAATAACTAATGTTTGACCTGTTTGTACATTATCATGCTTTGCATAACTGAAGCTCAGATTTCAAGTACACTCATGAAGTTATCTATCGTCTCAGACAATTTAGGCTGAAAAGTCCAACTCTGCATTTTTTGCTTTTTCATTTTCTAAGTTGCTTAACATTTATGTAACATTTAACTTCCCATAATTTTTTGAAAAAGCTACATATGAAATTGTTAAAATCTGATCTGATCTAGTTATATAATCCTATGTAAGTCAGAGACAGGGGAGTTTTGTTTGCCTTGAAATGAAGGAATGAAGGATAAATGACATAAAACATGACATTAAAAATATGGTTTGCTACACTAGTTTTATGCTCCAGATTAAGAGATTATGTTATTTCAACTTGGTTTCCTTTGCAAATGGACTTAAACTTGGAAATTGAGCATTTAAAGATGAAATTAATTCAAATCTTAAAAAGGATATTGACAAAGCAAATTGCAAAGTTGTTTCTCTATTGAATTCTACATTTTAAAATATAAAATCTCCAACTCTGGAGGGCGTTATTTATTTATTTTTTGATAACTTCTCAAAAGGTTGTGACGTGGCCTTAAGATTGATGACATTACAAATTCATTTGTTGTTATTAACATTTCAGGGCAAGTAGTGAATGTGATCCGTGAACACAACACACAAAGACTGCCAGGATTCCGACCAACACTTACATCGCACATAACCATACCCGCTGCATACAGAGCGGGAATCACATTATTTGTTAAAAAGGACTCAGACGTTTATAAGGAACTCATGGAGGCTGAAGAGCTGCCTTTGAAAGACCATGAGAATGCAGATCATGGTTGAAACCGATCAACTATTGTGTCTATGTGCATCTTGCCAATATAGAAAAATATGCTTTGACTAATGAGTGTATTCAGTATCTCAACCCTTGACTCGATTTAATCTATTTTAATCCAGTCATTGATCTATTGTGATCTGATCAAGATGAGATGATCTGATCAAGATCAAATTTTGATGAAGGCATTCAGTCATGATCATAGAGTCAGAGACCAGAGAAGATTTGACTCGACATTACAATTTATCCAGTGAGCATGGTGCGAGATAAAACCAGTTTATAAGTCCTGACCAAGTTAGTGTTCGTTATAGGTCAGCTCATGTTTCAGCGTGTATAAGAAAATAACATGACAACTGGTCTATAATATATCTGCCTTGTATGCTAGAAATAATTATGCTGCACCCTGCCAATCAACATGTACATCTTATACAGGCTTATAACCATTAATGTCCTTCCACTGTGATATGTAGTTAAAAGAACTGCAAAAAAGCTGGAACCATTCACTGATGAAATGTTAAATGTTAAATCTCTAATGCTTATATCTGTTAACCTTTTGAAGACTTTATTGTACTATCATGTTCCTTACTTTTCTCTAAGAATATTGCCGATAGCCAACATATATTAAGGAGATAACCCATGCCAGTGAAATAACATGTTTAAAATTTTGTCAAGCCTGTTAAACTGTTTTAGTTAAAATCAAAAGTCACAGAGAATAAAGAAAACAACTATTTTGAAAATTATCACATGATGTCTCGCACATAATGAGGTTAGATTCGTTAATGATCCATATCTACCCCGATGTCTGTTTTGTATCTTGATAACTCAAATACTAGAAATCAGATTTGATTGGATGATTATGCAGTGAGGAGATTTTTATAATATAACAACAAAGCTTCAATGTAATGTACATGTGTTGTTCTAATTAAGCTTAACTTGAACCAGTTTTTGAAATGTCCTATTACATATTTAACTTTCTTGAAATTCAAAATCTATAGCAACTTGTGTCCTACAGTATTCAGTTAATTGATATTAGATCTGATTTTCATATTGGTAATATTAATTCACACAAATACATTTATATGTGTAAAATATATATGTATTTTCTCTTATGTTTTCAAAACTGCAAAACAGAAAAACAAAAGTACATCAAGATTTACAGTGTTTGTGGTTTATATGATAAAATATATGTAAAGGTAAAGAACAGAATAAAATAAAAATGCAGTATTTTCTAAAAATTAGAGTAAATATTTTGTTGATTTGTGCGCGTTGTTATATTTTGTTGCATATGTATATGCTTTTGTAAATGTTGTCTACACAGTACATACAGTTCAGTATATAGAAGTTAAAGTCTTTAGATATCAGCCAATGGTTATCAAACTATTTTTCAGCTGAAATAGCCTATGTTGTACAACCCTATAAGCATTCCCGATAATATCACATATTCTGCAGATTTTTGTAGATTCTGTTAAAATATAAGCAACCAAATCTATTGTTTATTATGCAAGTGTCCTAATTTAGAGGTGTATGTAACAAGCATGTTAAAGAAACATGTAACATGTGTAACAAGCATGTTAACAGAACATGTAACATGTGTAACAAGCATGTTACAAGAACATGTAACATGTGTAGCAAGCATGTTAAAGGAACATGTAACATGTGTAGCAAGCATGTTAAAGGAACATGTAACATGTGTAACAAGCATGTTAAGGAACATGTAACATGTGTAACAAGCATGTTAAAGGAACATGTAACATGTGTAGCAAGCATGTTAAAGGAACATGTAACATGTGTAACAAGCATGTTAAGGAACATGTAACATGTGTAGCAAGCATGTTAAAGGAACATGTAACATGTGTAGCAAGCATGTTAAAGGAACATGTAACATGTGTAACAAGCATGTTAAGGAACATGTAACATGTGTAACAAGCATGTTAAAGGAACATGTCACATGTGTAACAAGCATGTTAAGGAACATGTAACATGTGTAACAAGCATGTTAAAGGAACATGTGACATGTGTAACACGCATGTTAAAGGAACATGTAACCTGTGTAACAAGCATGTGAAAGGAACATGTAACATGTGTAACAAGCATGTTAAAGGAACATGTGCCATGTGTAACAAGCATGTTAACAGAACATGTAACATGTGTAACAAGCATGTTAAAGAAACATGTGACATGTGTAACAAGCATGTTAAAGGAACATATCATACATGCGTTGATAACCAATATGACATTCAAGATTGTAAGCTCTTTACATGTGACACGTCACATACTGAATCACCCCAGCTTGAGATTTGTCAAGAAATTGCCTCTCGCACATGACTAAAAGGCTGATTAGTTACATTTGAAAGGATGGAGTTTGTTTATTGATACTTGATCGAGCATACATGAATCTCTTTGGAATGTTCATATTTGTGTCCTTGTTATTCATATTTGTGAAAGCTATCGCTGATTTTGAGTCTGCTGTGTAACTTTCACCGACCACTGGGAAAAAACGTGGCAAATTAAGCTGCATGCTAGAAACTTCTTGCTGTCTGTATGGGCCTTTGAGATTTGCTGTATCTCTGAATGTATCAACTTTGGCATCACTGTTTTTGTCTTGATTTTTAGATTTAGACCTGGATATAGAAAATAATAAGACATAACAGTGATAGTACATTACTAAACAGTAAAAGTGTAAAAACAAATATTAAAGGTCCCATGTAATCATTTTTGCTAATATTGTATCATATTTATCTGTTTCTCAAAAGTTAATGTGATATTACATTTCTTAAAGTACATTACATAGAATTAACAATCATACAAACCTCCTGATATACATAATACAGGCTGCCAATAAAATAGCTAGTATAACCAGCATCACAAGGCCCATTGCAACAATGACAAATATCTCCCAACTTGGTCCTTCATTGTTCTGTTCAATAGATGGCACTACAGGCAATTCCAATGCCTCTAGTGTTGTATTACAACAATCTTCCAGAGATTCCTGCAGAGAGGCTTCTGATTCCTTCAATGCATCTAGCAATGTCTCCTGGTCCAAGTATAACACTGGAAAGTGAAATTACAATTTTATTCAATGGACTTTATTTCTTATTTTATCTTATTTTATCACTACAGTATTCCAAATGATTTAATCATGTACATCATATTGAATCCTTTATAATATGTAATCATGATATTAGCCAAAAAGGCAAAACAAGTCAAAAGTAACAAGTAAATATGGGAAATATTCCAACATAAAGTATGACACAAAGTTATAAGATACATATATATTAAGGTGTTATTACAAGAAAACAATCCCCAAGATCCAAAACAATGAACAAGGCATGATTAATCTAATCACTTTACTTGAAATTGATTAAAAAGCAGATATTACCACTCTGGTACTTTAAATGATCAAACTACAAGATCCTACCATCTGAAACTGCTCTGTTGAATCTGTCTTTTAACCCTCTCCGTACACGCTGAGTTGATATATCTCCATCAGAACACAAAGGGTTATCAACTGGCACCTCTGCATAGAAGACAACAGTTAGTCTCTTCCTTTGACCCACATCAACTTCTGTAGGGTAGCCCTTGGCAGATATGATGTTGTTCTCTGTTGCATAGACTAAAAAGTCATTGCTGAAACATGAAATATTTGTCATAACTCAGTCTTTATAGGTCCTATATTTAAGGAATAAAGACCGAGATCTTAATGATTTATGGCGTGATATATGACCGAAAAATTTATACTGTTCGATTGAGGTCTTTGGCAATGGCCAGAATAAAATTTGAGGTCATATATTTGACATAAATCATAAAATCGAGGTCTTTGTTATGATTCTAATATGATAAACAGACAAGAAAAACAAATATTTGCAATATCAGTTATTGTGACGTCACATATCATATTAGAATTATTCATAAACATCTTTATGAATAAATATAGATATGTATGTGCCAGGTCGTTCAATAAGTTCCCGGAAAAACGCTCTCATTTTGTTAGTTTGTAGTATTTTTTATTGAAATTTTCACAGTATGTGTAAAATTTATTTAGAATTTATGTATAGAAATATTTTTGTACAATATTTCATATTTATTAACTTATCCTTGATAACGTGACATCATAAAAGGGTATGCGGGGCACTATTTTGACGTTAAAATTTCACAATTTTCAATTTATTCATCATATGTTCACATATTTGTATTTTTTATTTCAACTGAATAAACAGTCCTGTTGCCATGGTAACAATGTGACATCATATTACTGCTGTACAAGATGCAAAAATTCTTGGATTGAAGACATCATACATATTGCATGACATCACACAACTAATGCATGACATCAGTCATTAGTCAAACACCAAAATGGCTACTGTCCTCTAGGATATTCCATTAGGACAATGCTCCAAGCCATAGGTCTAACTTGGTGCAGGACACCATTTCCATCAATCTCCAAATGGAACTGCAAGACCAGGCACCCTATTCACCTGATACGGCAGTATTAGATTTTGCTGTTTTCAACAGATTGAAGGAAGCTCTGAGGGGGATTCGCTTTGGCTCAGTTGATGATCTTAAAGCAGGTGTTCAGAATGCACTAAAGGAGAAGTTTCCAGCTGGGTTCCGTGACCAATACAAGCAATGGGTTCAGAGACAGAGGCTATGTATTCAACACGATGGTTCATATTTTGAGCATTTAATGTAGATGACAGTGAAGGACTATGTGAATATATAATCTTACAAGCATACAAAGACATCAAAGGGTGTTAAATATATCGTAAAATGTGACTAAAACGTTTAGATTTAATGATCCAAACTTAACCGTAATACCAAACAGTGCCCCGCATACCCTTTTGTGATGTCACATGATGTTGGATAACTTAAAAACTAGTGGGACATTTTCAAATTAATTTAACACAATGATTTGAAAATAAATTGCACACAATACTGTGAAAATTTCAATGAACAATATTATAAACTAATAAAATGAGAGCGTTTTTCCGGGAACTTATTGAACGACCTGGTACAAGTGCCAAAAAGAAGGGACCAAAATTGTTACAGAACAAAGCAAGAAAATGAAAACATCTAAGAGTACACAAGTCATAAGGAAAACAAACCCCAACTATCCCAAACCATGATCCGACATGAAAAGAAACAATGTCTAAATAAAGAGTTATTTAATGGAAGTTCATGTAAGTTTCTCCTCAGGTTATCTTTCCTTGAGAAACCTTATGGTAGACTAAACTTCATTTACTTTCATACTATGGTGTTTTATTACACCCCAGTCACATTTCCTAAGGCGACCTTGCGGTCTATCATTTCTGCGGCCAGTAGCTTTTCTACGCTCGCCGCAGAATTTCTGCGCTCTCATACTTTTGCAGTCACATTTCCCACGGCAGCCGCACGGTGAACTTCAAATTTCTATTGATAAATAATAGTTTTTTTCATTTTATTTACATCAGGACAATTTATAAATGTTATTCAAAGTGCTAGGATGTAATATCAAATGAAAAGTGATCGTGAAACATTGACAGATAATGATTCAATCTTGTTGAGCCAGTTGATTTCTACGGGGACCTCAGAAATGAACAAATATTATAACTCCGAGTTATCATTTCTACGGCGACCCTGCGGCCTGTAAAAATCTGCATACGCCGTACGGAGGCCGCAAGGCGAGCGTAGTTTTTCTACGCTCGCCGCAGAAATTCACCGATTTAATTGTTCTGCGGTCGACTTGCGGCCGCCGTGCGACAAATGTGACTGGGGTGTTACATGTATGTATTATTACTATAATAGACTATTATAGATTATCAATTATAACATTAATTATTAGGAAGAATACAAAATCATTTACTTTCTCCTGTTTCCTTTGTCAGGACAGCAACGCCTGAATTTGTTATTGCAGTATCTTGTAAGAAAGTCCGCCACTTTGTTCCTAATGGTTCCCCAGATGGCCTGCCACTGAAGTGCAAGTTATACACAGAGCTCAATAAATGCTATATTGATATCAACTTTAGCATTTGGGACATTTAGGACCTCTGATATATTATATCCTTTGAAGCCATTATTGTAGCTGATAAAAGATATAATTGTTCATCATGATAAACCATGACAACTCATTTCTTCTCAGCCCTGAGATGTTTCAGTTAAAACAGAAGGATGCTGTATCAAAATGATAACTGTTTAGAGCAAAAGACTTTAATAAATATTCATAATATTAAATATCAAGCTATTTTTACAAATGATACAGTGATTGGGATAGTGTTTTCACAACAAAACAACTTACTAAACCAGCACTAGCTGTGGCAGTGAGCTGAACTCCTCTACTGGCTTCATTCCTAGAATCTGTCAGAGAGATTATTTATTAAAATTATTTAATATGAAATAGTGACAAAGGCAATGGTGCAAAGGCTGCCACTATAGCCTGAAACTGGGTAAGGTGAAATGTCATTATTGCTCTGTTTTAAAGCAGGTTTAATGTTTCTGTCCCTCAATTATTGTGTATTTTTGGTTTGAAGTAGGAAAGCCTTACGGTGAAATGTACTTACGTTGACAGCGTCTTCCGTACCAAGAATTTGTACATTGACATCGGCACTGGGATTGAGATTCTACAGCCACACCTCCATTTTGACACTGGAAGCTTTCACAAGGATCCATCTTTTCAGTTGTTGTTACTTTTGTTGGCCTTTTTGTTGTTGTGGGCTTTTTTGTTGTGGTGGTAGTGGGTTTTTTCGTTGTTGTTGTGGGCTTTTTAGTGGTGGTAGTGGGTTTTTTCGTTGTTGTTGTGGGCTTTTTAGTGGTGGTGGTGGGCTTTTTAGTAGTGGTGGTGGGCTTTTTCGTTGTTGTTGTGGGCTTTTTCGTAGTGGTGGTGGGCTTTTTTGTTGTTGTTGTGGGCTTTTCCGTTGTTTTAGGACACACATTAGTTCCGTCACCAGTTGCACCAACTATACAAAACAAACTTCACTCGTATATACATTGTTTTAGTCATGCATAAAGAAGTTCAGCAAAGGACCATGCCATGGTATATCTTTTAGTGTAAAAACTAAATAAAAACATTGATTAAGGGAGACACCATACCACATCTTCCGCAGTGAGCTGCACAATTTTTCGTCATAAAGGCGTAGAAATCATCACATGCATTAGCTCCATAACCATTGCAGTTCTCGTTGACATCAACACATGCATCTAAATCAAAACACAAAACAGCTGCAAATATTTTTTTTTAAATTATTGTACAGGGTGGGCCGAACAATGAATCCACCTTCATATTCAAGCCCTTTTTAATTCTTCCATTACTTGTGTATGATGATAAATCACTGGGTAGATAATTCAATTTCCAATGAAGTGACATGTATGATAGAGAGAATAGATCAAAGGTGTTGACTTTACACAATGTTTTTACCATGGGGGTATTTCATTGACGAACAATGAGGTTTTGGTGCAATATCACACCATATACTTACACCATATACTTACACCATATACTTACACCATATACTTACACCATATACTTACACCATATACTTATACCATATACTTACACAATATCATTCTTTAATAATACAAGAATGTCTGATCAAGTGGCGCATGTCTTAAGTTGTCATCTTCTATTTCAAACTATTCAATTTAAACAGATACAAATGGACACAGTGTTCTCCAGCAGACATAGCTAGACATAGCTAGACATAAGCAATACTTCAAATTAAATAGTACTGATTTTTACTGGCCTACCCCATATGCACTGTAATTGTAATTTCCCATTTATTTCTTAGTGTTCACACTTTGTTCCAAATTTTCAATTATATACAGGCTGTGAAAATAAAACATAGAAAGATACAGCCCTGCGCAAGCTAGATCAGATATACCTCACATTACCTTGGCAACTGTTTCCCCACCATCCAGCAGGACAACTGCAGCTGCATTCATTAGTAACCGTGCCACAATTAGCACACTCTTTCCCACAGGCTGTAATGTTATAATGCAAGATTTAACATAATACCTATCTTCCAAGTAAAATCCAGGCCTACAAATATCAGCAATGTTGTATGGAAAAGTCAGAAGGAACGAGGTATCTGGAGCTCTGGGATTGGAGAATGACAGAATGAGAATGATGTTAGACATAAAATAAAATGCACAAAATCTAACAAATAGAAATAAATCAATAAGGGAAATACATAAAGAACAAATAGAAAAACTCAAAGACTTAGAAAAATACAGGTAAACGAAAAAATAGACAACAAACAAAAAGAAATAAGATAAGTGTGCAGAGAAAAATATGAATATAAAAGGAACAAATGAACCTTACTCATATTACAATTGTAGTAACCATAGTATGTGCCAAATCGCTTCCAAAGTGGCTTAGTTAGTCTAAACCGATGTTGAGGTAGATTACTAAGAAGCGGCCCAAAGGCATTATAGTTTGGTTCATTGACTATTCGTTTTCACTTGTCTGCAGTCAAAAAGGTGACACGAAAGGGCTAAACGGCTTGCCCCAAGGTGCAACCGTCAAAAAGATGAGTTTGAAAAAAATCATTTTTTTCAAATAATAGCAGCGAGGATATAAAATAGGAGGCAAATTTGATATTAATACGTATGATAGTCCATTTAGGTGTGGTCTTTTTTATTAAAAACAATAACGGTGAAGAATTATATATTTCTGACCTTAAAACGCCATTTTAATGCAAAAGTCACCTTTGTTAATAATAATATTCCTATTTTACCTATTCAATGTTTTATAAGTATTACAATTACCATTATATTAGTTTTTGGCAAAGTAAATAATTAAAGGGCTCACACAAGGATCAACTTTATTTACAACTTTTCATATCTAGTGATGTTTTGTAAAAATACTACGTTTAACACAATTCTATGTGTTAAATATTAAACAAAATAATGATAATGTATTTGTTTTGTTGTTTCAACTGAAAAATCACAATTCATTGCTCTTGCTCTTAGAGTGGCAGGGCATATACCAGTATGAAAAACCGTCAATACAGTTGATCCTTGTGTGACCCCTACAATAATTTACTTTGCCTAAAACTAATATAATGATTATTCGGATATATAAAAATCATTTCATAGGTAAAATAGTAATAAAATGATTGACTTTTGAATAAAAAGGCATTATAGTTGTTGCAGTAAAATTACCACACCAAAGTGGACTATCTTTACATATTAATATTAAATGGGCCTTCTATTTGCATGTTTTACTGTACCATAGCCGTAGCCAGCGGGGGTTCGGTGGGTTCGAACGAACCCCCGGTCAGGATTTCCCAAAATATCATTTTGCGAAAAAATGCATATAACCAGAATCATTAAATTACTGTGCTATTTGAAAACTACATATATGAGCAGTAAATGAATTGATATTTGTTATGGTGAACACGAGAGCATTATTTTCTTAAAAACATGTCATAGTGAAGTTACACTTCCCTCAAAACGTTTAGCATGCTTCATCTCGGACAAAATAACCCATCTTGGGCAATGGCTAAATCAGTCCTTTGTAGGAATTTTGTCTTAAGCCAGTTCTGGTCCAATACGAAGTTATTGAAAGTTATTGAAAACAATGCAGACGTCCCATACTCCGAATGATTTTTACAACATTGGTGAATAAATATCTGGAATAGTCGTAATATTGATGAAACACATGTTCTTTCAAATGTGTACATCTCTGTTTTGTTTTATTTCGATTAAAATTTAAAATATTTCTTGGGGCGTCCCTGGGGCTGGCAAGTCGAAGTCCCCGAAACCAATTAATAATATAAACGTTGTGAAATGAATTATCTAAAAGCGTATCATTTATAAACACAAAGATTTGTTAAAATTTATTCATTCTTTCATTTGATCAGTATTTCTTTACCCATCACTTTCCAAAGAAAAATCAATCATTGCAAAAAAATGATTTTGTTTTTTTTCAGATACACTCCACTCATCTAAGAGATTGTATAGAATTCAAATTGTTATCGTTCCAGTTTACTTGCTCTCCATTTTCATGTTAATGTCATGATATGTTTAGCGAATATAATAAAAAAAAAACATTGAACAATTATATGGTATTTATCTTCAAATAATGAAGGCCTAATTTGTTATCAAGCCGTCTGAACTTAACAAAATAACAGTCGCTTTTATTTATATAATTTTATCCACTAAAACGTTGTTATTATCAATTGCGGTTGATCTGCTCTGGGGGACTTACCACTGAGCTCCGATGACGTCCAAAGAAATATTTTTAACTTTTTAAAACAAAGCATAACCGAGACCCACTTATTTGAATAATATATATTTTCATCAGTAATAGTACGACTATCCCGGATAGTTTATAAAGCCTTCGTGTAAACGTTGTGAAAAGTTATCATAGAAGAACGATCTTTCGGAGTATAGGGTGTTTGCGTCAATTTCAATAACCTTGCATTTGATCCGAACTGGCTTCCAACAAATTTACTGAAAAATAATGATAAGCCATTGCATGAGGTGATTTATTTCGTCCTAGATGAAGTAGCTTAAGTTAAAGAATAAATTGTGCGAAATAGTTTATATTCCTTGGAAACAAATCATGCTACAGGGTCTTCCAGAAATCATTCGAAATAATAGATTTCAGGATATGTATTCAGTAAAAGATTCACCGAAGTATATTTTGATGCAGAAAATTAATTACAAGTTGTCTGACTTTTTTTGCACGTTGCCCGTTTATTTTACTTTGTGAACATTAAAGTTGCAAAGCTACAAGGTCATTTTTGAAAATCATTTTTACGTCCAGACTTTTCTCCTGTCATTCCTTGTCATGTCTATTTTCTAAATATCACAACAGTGCATACTTTATTCCAGGAAAACTAAAGATTTTTTACAAAAATGTAAAAAAGTTGTGAATCTTTTGGGAGATATTGTATTTGATATTGTAAGGAATATATTGGTAGGTCAATTATACATGTTGCTTGTAATTTTATCACCCCCTATAGATCAGATTCTGCCTTTAATGAAGGTATTGCAATGAATTATATTTCCCCTCCCAAAATAGTTTTTTCTTTACAAATTATGCAAATAAGAATTCAAACTTAAAGATGCTTTAATACATAATCCAATGGGGTAGTTAGGATTGCCAAACTTTTGGAGGGAGTGTAATTGTACACATTGCATTATTTGAGAAACCCTAATGAAGGGGAGGGGGATTTGTGAATAACATAAAAATAGAACCCCCGGTCACCAAATCCTGGCTACGCCACTGCTGTACTTATTTGTAACAAAAGTTTATTGTGATAAAGCAAGCAGTGAATTTGATATTTTTAGCTAGCAGACAGTGATCTAGACGAGGCAACGTCTTGTTGTAATAGGTGTAACAGTAATGAGGCAGGAATTACTTTATAAATGAAATGACAAATGACAATTCCAGTGTTGATGGTTTATCTAACAATTAGCCATTTTGTCCAACATTCTGCTTGGACGTCAAATTAAAAGATGCCGATTTCCATCACATCAAGTTTGATTTGTTCACGGATGTATGTCAGAGTGATACCTGTAGCAGCTCCTGCACTCATACCTACATTTTGAAACATATGCAGCAATTGTATTTCCAAAAGGTCAGTTTTCAACTTTGTATGTTTCATTTTTGTTCATAAAATGTGAATTCTAGAAATGTCAAAAATGGAATGGAAAAATATCAATATTTAGTTAGTTGGCTTTTTAAAACACTTGCCCGATGATTTGACCCTTCATAACCAACGATAAGGTGACCTGAGGTCAAGATCTGAATGGGTCAAGGTAATTTAAAGGTCAAAGGTCAATATCTAGCAATTTGACGTTTTGAGGCAATTGAGAACAATTGTGACATTTGGCGACCAATGATGAGGAGACCTGATTTCAAGGTAATTTCTCGGTAGTTGGCTACTGTGGGTCTACAGTAGCATTTGATCACCAATGATAAAGTGACCTACGGTCAATGTCATTGTTTAGGGTCAAGGTCATCTCAAGGTCATAGATCTAAATCTATCTAAATATTTGGTGTTTTGGGGATGCTGCTTCACATGAGGACCCATGAATATGTGTCCTGAGGTCAAGGTCATTCCTACAAGGTCAATATCTCAGTATTTGGAGTTTTGAGCCCCTGGGGGCTGCTGTGGCCCTTTGCAACTCATGTTAAGGTGACATGGAGTTAAAGTCAATACCTATGGTTCAAAAACATTATAAGGTATATCTAGGTATTTGGCCTTTAAAGGCACTCAGGGGACGAAGTAGCCCTTGGTGACCCATTATTAGGCGACTTGAGGTAAAAGTTATTACTGATGGGTTAATGTCAATTCAAGGTCAAAAGTCAATATCTAGGTATTTGGATTTATTTTTACGGCCATGTTGGGCTGCTGTGACCCACTCGAACAATAGATTGCTAGTATTATTAAAGATAAACAAGAATATAGCGGGAGGATGGGAAAATTGTCTAACCACACCTGGGACCTTCTAGTCTAGATTCTGATGCTCTACCACCTGAACTAAACAACCAAGCTTAAAAGATACAATTCCTTAAAAAGAAATCATGGACCGATATTGTTTTGTTTAGATTAATATGTCAAATCAATTTTCCATTGCAATTCACGTAGTGCAATACACTTTATCAATTGACATTTTAAAAATAACAGTCGATCATTTCTGTTTTATGATGGTTTGAATAAAATTTGCTGATTTGAAATACAATTTTAACACAGGAGATCGAGGGGTTATACAAATATGAGGTCATATTGATGACTGCACTCAGTAATCTTCAGTCAAGTTGACGAAGTTTTTCATGAAAGAGTTACCTTCTATTGTGGTTCTGAATTGAATCGGTATAAGCAGATGTGTTTCCAAAAATGCAAATTTAAAGCAAATTTCGCAGAATTTAGTTATCGATATGTAGAGATAGTCCATTAGGGTATGGTTAAAAACAATAATGGTCAAAATCTGGTACATCTGACTGTAAAATGCTTTTTTATTCAAAAGTCAATGATATTATTCTTATTTTACCTATCAAATGATTTTCATATATCCGAATAACCATTATATTAGTTTTTGGCAAAGTAAACTATTGTAGGGGTCACACAAGGATCAACTGTATTGACTGATATATGCCCTGCCGCTCTAAGAGCAAGAGCAATGAATTGTGATTTTTCAGTTGAAACAACAAAACAAACACATTATCATTATTTTGTTTAATATTTAACACATAGAATTGTGTTAAACGTAGTATTTTTTCAAAACATCACTAGATATGAAAAAGTTGTAAATAAAGTTGATCCTTGTCTGAGCCCTATAATTATTTACTTTGCCAAAAACTAATATAATGGTAATTGTAATACTTAAAAAACATTGAACAGGTAAAATATGAATATTATTGTTAACAATGGTGACTTTTGCATTAAAATGGTGTTTTAAGGTCAGAAATATATAGTTCTTCACCATTATTGTTTTTAATAAAAATGACCACACACAAATAGAGTATCAAACATATCAATATTAAAGTTTCCTCCTATTTCGTATACTCGCTGCTATTATTTGAAAAAAAGTGATTTTTTCAAACTCATCTTTTTGATGGTCGATCCTTGGGGCAAGCCGTTTAGCCCTTTCGTGTCACCTTTTTTACTGCAGACAAGTAAAAATGAATAGTCAATGAACCAATCTATAATGACTATGGGTCACTTGATAGTAACCTACCTCAACATCAGTTTATGGGATTTTCTGGAGTTTTGGCGCACACTACCAGGCCAATTTACATAATCTTACAATCCGTCATTATTCCATATTCCATTAGAAAGTATCCCTACCCCCAATTTGTAATACACATAGGGAGAATATCTTATGTAATAAGAATCATAATTCCTCATAAGATAAGAAAGTATCCCAATACCTATCCTTATGGAAACTGTTTATAGGTAAGAGGATAAAAATCAAATCTGAGAAATACAAAATCTTGAAGAACAGAAAACCTAAAATATTGATTGTACTTACTACATTGTGAGGTAATGCCTTCAGCAAAGCAATCTCCTAAAAGTATATAATATTTGTTAATTTGTTAATATAATATATTCAATTTGTGAATCCTCAATCACTAACTAAATAGTATGGTTCACTTCTAAATATGTATCATGTTTAAATAACTATTTGCGATTAATTTTGTTAGCTTGTTGTTTTTCAAAACAACATTTTCAAAACGGATATTGGTATAAAAATTGTAGTCAATTTTGCTTTGAATATGCAAAACGTTATCAATAAATACATTCAAAATCGATAAGTTCTAATGATGGATCTGACTATAACTTACTAGTATCATTAAAAACTATACCATTAAAAACAATGTATTTTCATAAAAATCTCAAAACATGCCAACAAAAATATACAATAGAGTTATCAAAATTATTGCAGAATCATCAATTGAGCTTTTATGAATATGGTTGGTTACACAATGCCCCCGTCACAAATTTGATCTCTCACGGCTATGTTTAGCCGTAGCTTCGCGGGATCGAGGAATACCCGTAAAGACATCAGAAACCTTGCGATCGCCTCAATGCTGCTCTACACGTATCCCTTTTTTACAGGCCGTATGGTTGCCTTGGAATTGTAACACGGAGTTATAACTTTTTTCATTTCTACGTTCTTCGTTGAAATTAGACACGCAGTAGCCAAGCCATAGCGTCAGACTGGCTCAATGGTCGCGCCGTACGGTATTTCTCAAAACGGTTGCCGCAGGAACGCCCAGGATGACGGTGTGTCATCACTTCACAAGCTGTACGGTAGCAACTGGTTTCCTCTGCTCACATTTGCTACGACGGTCTTATAATTGCTATTGACCATTGCTAATGCTAATGGACTGAGTATTTTAGTGTTGAACTTACTACAGAAGCCGTCAAAGCAGAATAGTCCTGGACCGCAATCAGAACACCCCTCTCCAACAGTATAAGGCTGACGAGGAAAATTGCCTCTGTAATGAAAAAATGTGACAAATGAATCTACGAAGAACACAATATATGATAAACAGATCATTTCACTGTCGGTTTACGATATTGGGATTACCCTTGCTTGATATGATATTCAGTCCAAAAAACAACTCTGTTCTACAAGGGTTGTTCAATATCTTATCCTATAACTATTGAGGTTTCAGGTACACATATGGTAATGATTTGTTGTATAATATTAATATATTTCATTTACACAAATAAAGTGATTAAAATTGTCGGACTGGGAGATTTATTAAAGAGGCAATAAGGACTGTAGAGAGAAAATTCGAAAATTTTTATTTTTTCTGAGCTATCAGGTCAATATTTGGCTTAATACCTTCTTTGACATACCTATTTTCATAAAATGTATGTATAAACTATCAATTTCAGCATTAAGAAGTGTAAATTCAATTCAAAGCTTCTATAAAGGGAGTCCCACTTATAGATTTTTAAGATCCACCATGTTTCAAGAGGAATATCAGCTGAAATAATGTTCATCCAGAGGGTTTCTTTGTAGATAATGAAAATATATGTTAGTCTTGATGAAATATCCAAACCTAAATATATTTTGACACTTGTCGATGATTGTTGAATGGCCCCCCTGCACTATTTGTAGCACCTTTAAATCATAACACAAAAAATAGGAACAAAGGTAAACAAGTAGCTTGTTTGAATCCCTATTTAGATCCATCATTAGACCGATAATGAATGATTGATAGTTAAAACACTTAATCATTGGATAAATTAGTTATGTAATGCTATGTGTTGGATATGGGATATATCGAAAACCTCCCATATCACAACCCTGTTCCAAGCAATCCATTCCTAATTTCGAATTATACTTTTCGTATTTTATCTATATTTGAACCGAATAAAGATTTAATACTTGTTTTAAATGAGGAAGGTTTGCTTTATACTTTTTTTGAAACCAGCTTCCAATGACTACCACATAAGAAACATTTTAATATTCATCAAAAAAACGTCTCATCAAATTCAACTTTGTGTGTGTTTTACATAAAAAGTTAAAAGATAGAAAACTGTACACAGATTAGAAAAAGATAAGGAATGATGAGCTATTAAAATAATCTATCTGCGATCGGATTTCAAGAATCTCAGTTAATCATTCGATCATTTTTGTCAGTAAGATGATCATAACGTATAGTTACGGTGGGTTGTAGTTGCACACTACTAATGTTGCATCTGACCAAGACCTTCCTTTTTTGCTATCGGTCAGTGTCGGACACAGAGTGGCTCCACATCCAAGTTTAAAGCTGTCATCCCAAACAATCTTCAAGAATAAACAATTTCTCTGGGTAAAATCAAACGAATTTTGTGAACTACACATACTGTAAATAACGTTACATTAAAGGGGAAACAAGGACTGTATAGAGAAAATTCAATTTATTTTTATTTTTTGAGTTATTAGGTCAATATTTGGCTTAACATTTCTTTGACATACCTATTTTCTTAAAATGTATGGATAAACTCTCAATTTGAACTGATGATCGTTGAATGCCCCCCCCCCCCCCCTGCACTAATTGTTGCACCTTTAAACTTAATATCGAAAGTAAAGAAACCCCTGAAACTTCTGTGAATACACAACAAATCAGATATCAGTGTGTAATGACCACACTTTCCACTTACCCGTGTGTGATGACCACACTTTTTCATCTACCTATGTGTAATGACCAAACGTTCCCACCTCCCCGTGTGTGATAATCAAAATCTTTCCCGATCTCACCTCCCCGTCGTGTGTGATAATCAAAATCCTTCCCGATCCCATCTCCCCGTGTGTGATAACCACACTCTCACCTGTCCTTGTGTAATTGTATTGTAATTGTATATTTATTTACCTCTTATCACTAGCACGCCCGGTGATCGTAAAAAATGGATGGAGGGGGGGATTAGGCGATTTCTGCAAGAAAACTCAACAAATTTGGAAGATTTATTTTTTCAAGAGAAAATTTACAACTGAATTGCCAAATGAATAGGCGCAGTGCATGGTAAAATATGTTAGGTCATCTAGTATTTTTTTTGAACTGATACCCTTCTATGATATGAGATCTATTAAAAAAGGCGCATCATCACCAACGTGCAAAAGTCAATGGTTTTGCTATAAATCGGGCAACAATGGTCTTCCAGACCTGTAATAAATAGGTATAAGAGACATTATTATCACAATACTAATGACATTGCTCACTTTTTAAAGTTAGTTTCCATGCGTTATACAAAAAATAATCGAAATAAATTGATAGTGGATGGAGGGGGGGATTGGATGGAGGGGGGGATCACGTGTATGTAATACATGATAAGACATGCTGCTTGAATTTATTCTTATGACTCCAAATTTTCCCATTTTTCATTCTCCAGAGATATAATATCCAGTTTCTTACTGGGGTACTGAGTTTAGTTTTTTCAAATAGACGAGTTCTTGTGAATTTGTTCCATCGTAAAGACATATTAATCCCCCCCTCCATCCACTCCCCCCCTCCATCCAAAATTAATTTATTTCGATTATTTTTTGTATAACGCATGGAAATTAAATTTAAAAAGTGAGCAATGTCATTAGTATTGTGATAATAACGTCCCTTATATCTATTTATTACAGGTTGTGTAGACCATTGTTGCCCGATTTATAGCAAAAACATTGACTTTTGCACGTTGGTGATGATGCGCCTTTTTTAATAGATCTCATATCTTTGAAGGGTATCAGTTCAAAAAAAATACTAGATTACCTAACATGTTTTGCCATGCACTGCGCCTATTCATTTGACAATTCAGTTGTAAATTTTCTCTTAAAAAAATAAATCTTCCAAATTTGTTGAGTTTTCTTGCAGAAATCGGCTAATCCCCCCCTCCATCCATTTTGTACGATCACCGGGCGTGACTAGAGAGTTACAATTATAAAGTTACAAATTGAAATAAAGAATAAAAACACACATATTTAAAATAGTGAACAAATCTATATCCCCAGTTGAGATGAAACCTCTATAGTGACCGTGTAATGACCATTTGTTTTCCCACCTACCTGTGTGTAATGACCACAAGCTTTCCCATCTCTACATTTATTTGTGGCATACGTATAATCAAATCGCTCATTCTCCCACGACTTTACAGAGGAATTAGCATTGAAGGTTCCAGTTGTCATATAGAGGTTCTGGCCGAGAGATAAAGAATTGGGGACCTGACCATGCACAAAATCACAGCGATCGGCCCATTGTTGTGCTAAGGATGCTACTTCATTGTCCCAGACCTAGGAAAAGGAGTTTTAACATGTATTTTGTAACATGAGATTGAAGGAGATGCCACTTTAATATTTCATTTAAAGATGTAACTTTAGAGAGAAAATATAGTAGCATTTAAATCAACTATTCTCGTTTATTTATTTTTTAATTTCAATCATTTTCGTTTTCCTTTTCATCAAAATTACAAAAGACTCTATTTTTCCAAGTTTAGAAGAAGGTGTAAATTATGAGGTAAATAATGATTATCCTATATGAGGTTCAGGATAATGGTATGTGAAATTATTGAAAAATGAAACACTTTTTTCTCATCCCGACTGAAATTCATAGCAAGAACTGGATGATTCAGTGATGGCCTTTGCCCAAACTGTAATTTGATTGTCCCATGACCTTAAAATACAATATACCGTAAGGGATGAAGTTTTTATAATGTTGGGGAATGAAATAGAAAAACAATTTCATAATTGTTTTAAAGTTTTTAACAGAGGTACCATACTCTTGTGAACCATTATGGTTATTTTAGAAAATCATAGGTTGTACATGTTTGTGTACTTCATATTTTAATGAATGTAATACTTGTACAGTCGACGCTCCTTTTATACTATGTACAAATGTGAGCCACTGTTTTAAAAATGTATGTCGAAATAATCCCGGGGCAAATACATTTGCCCAAAAGTCAGGGCGTGTTTATTGAAAAATGGGAATTCATTATAACTAATGTTTCTTAGAATATAAAGCATATATTCAAACCAACTAATCACATTTTATCTTAAAATTACTTCTATCTTATGAATGACAACTACTGATTTATTGTATACTCATTAAAGTATGTAAACTAATTTAATTTACCCCTCGATTATTGTATTATCAGTACAATAAAAGCCAGTGATATTTCTTTTATTATAGAAATCCATTCCGTGTGATATTCTTCAGAAAATCGTTTATCGGCCCCATATGCGACTGACATCGTTCATCAGACGATTCGTATGATAAACGAATTTGACTTTTTTGAATTTGTTATTGTAATCATGGGATAAACCAAGTATCAAATCATTTTTCGTGATATCATTTTGTCGCCTCGTAGATAAACCAACTCTTCGATAAAAATGATATCACTCAAAATTATCCGATAATATTCTCCATTTACCACGACACTGTACATTACTGTAAAATTACATAACTGTAAAATTGTATTGTAATATTGTTCTACATAAACGCAATAAATATTGAATCATGAAACAATATAAAAAACTGGTATTACCATATATCTCATATCTGAAGCGCCAACGGACGCTCTTATAGAGTTATGTAAACTTAGCACCCATTGAGCATCTTGGGAGGAAAACACATCAGTTCCTCGCCTCTTTCGCTCTGCACGCTTTATATCTCCAAAGATTTGACTCCGAATTGAATTATCACTTGTTTCAGAAATAAGACTGGATTCTTCATTTTTTCTTGATTTTGTTTCTCCTGAATTTACCATTAAAATTATCAAGAAAATTAAAAGTACATTTTTTAAAGTTCTGAAAGTTGCCATCTTAATGTATCTCCTGTCACTCAAGTAGTAGAGTGAGGCAGAAAACGTTTCTAACATAAATTTCTATAGGCTAGAATTGAGTGTTTCATTCAATTCTAATAGTTTATATAAAAGCCACACATACAGCATACCAGCTCGATCAATAAGTTATGAGAAAAAGTTTCTTAAAACAAGTTGTTTTTCCCTTTCACTCTCTAATTTTGGACGAAAAATATAGGTTTATGAGACACATTTTGACACCAATTTAAACGATAATTGTGATTTTAGGATATTGAAATACTAATTTACTAAATAGCCTGTCACAATAATTCTGATATTTTCCGAAATCATTTATTTGTTTCTTTTCTTATCTTTAAGATGACATTGAAAGAAATATTATTTTCTAAATATAAGTCTTTCTATTTTCTTTGTACTTTGATCACTCAAACGTACATTTGCTCTTCATTTTCTACATTCGAATTAAATATATGGCATTGGATTTGGATTATTTTTGGTTTGGATTAATTTTGCTAGATTTGGATTGAGTGAATTTGCGAGAGGAAGAATACCAGTTTTCAATTGGGCTGACAGGGTAGAAGTTTTTCCACGGCACAAATTCTTAACTTTGATTGGGATTCAATGTCTGTGCGAAGTTGCGTTGCTCTTGTAATGTTGTGCCACGTGTCAATGTAGTATCTTTGGTTATAGCATGGGCGAGCCTATGGTTATAGGAAAAGCTCTGCCGACAAAAAGAAAGAAACAATTATATCCATATTTGTCTAATTGAGGGATAATTCCTAAAGACAACTCTTGCTAAAAGCCTTTTTTAAGAACATATTGAACGACCTGCGTATACTATTCAGCATCAATAGTGTTTACCCGAAATCTAATATTTACGTGATTTTTTATGAGATAATTTTTTGTATTTGTATTAATTTTTCAGGTCACTGACCAAACTTAAGGACCCGATGCGAAGGTTGAAAATATTTTTTAATAATGTAAGTCTTATTTTCAGGAATCAAAAGTTGTAATTAATCGAAAAAATAGTCTTTTAATTCTCGAGCAAATGTTTCATTTTTTGATTATCAACTTCTACACAATACATTGAAAAAGACTCCATTGTATAGATTGATGAAAAGTTATACTCCCTGGACAATATCAGTCGTCTTACCATTGCTTTCATAAGTTCAACATTAATTTTTCTCAGAGCTATTATCTGTTGTCGTGGGTAAATTTTGGACACATTTCGGAATTAGACACCGTTTATTACTAGATATACATGATCGCCGAAATGGTATCTTTAGGAAAGGACAATGAATTAAACGTTTAAAAATTCTCAAAAAGAATTTGCCAAATCAAATCTCGATAACATTATATGGTTTAGGCAACATTACAATATATATACGCGGTCTTAACTTTCCATGGAACATTTAGCATTAACCTTTACCTTAAAAGTCTTAGTCTTTAAGGTTGACCCCATATATCCAAATAAATATCATAACAACACGCACTATAATATAAATGGATTTGAAGTACGTTTTGTCTGTAAATACTGAATCTTGAAGCATAGTAAGCGTCATGACAAGGGCAAGTTGTATATGTACCAAGAACATGCAAGATAAAGAGCTTTGCATTTTGCCAGCCAGTTTGTCGCCCCCTTGCCAGACAGGTTACAATACGAATATAACACACGGAGGTGCGATAAAACAGATTGTTAAAAACATGAGTAACAAAAAAGTTATTATTTGAGAAAATGTCAATGGAAGTATAATATATTATTATAATGCAAGAAAAGCAAGAATCTCAAAAGTCAAGGAATTTTGGGTGGGCTCACTGATTATTATTTCAAAAATTTAGAAAGTACTTCAAAATGACCTTTAAATGTAATTAAGTTATAATAAGTCCAGAACCCAAGTTGAACATAAAAATATCTAAAAAATGAATACAAAAATGGCAGAAAGTAAATACAGCAACTCCCATGGAGAATAATTCAGAAGTGATATTGAATAAAAAAAACATTCTGAAAATATTTGGATATTATTCAATGGCTTCTATTGCCACAAATGAACCATACTTTCATTATAAATCAATAGAAACATATCAATATTTATCAACAAAAATATGTCAATCAAATATTGACAGCCGAGGATTAACACGCGTTTCGTTACAAGTAGATGTTAATTTTAAAGAAGCCGGGTTAAAGGTCTAAAAGTGACATTCTTTTCTCGTGTTCAAATACTGATAACATTGTGTGGAAAATGGGAGCCTGTGGTACCGTAAATTGGTTTATTTTGGTAGTATTAATTTGGTGAATTTGCCATTTTCAGAATAATGACAACTGTTTAATTTTGCAGATTGTTTAATTTGGCAGATCTTTAAAAATATTTCAAAACGGATATTATGGAATTTCCATTTGTCCAACATAGTTGACGGATGGACAGACAGACGTATGAGAAGGCATTATATAAGCTCACCAGTAAAAACTACAAAAAGTACAGTAGTTTACACTCTGAATGTAAATGTTTACATAGAGGATTAGCAATGTTGTTATTTATCAAATTATAAAATTAACCTTTAAAGGTATCTCCTTTACAATGTTTATTCAATTTCATCCAATAATGAATATAGATATAATCCAGCAATGGCACCTGCTAAGCACATCGACGTTTCAATGGTATTGTGTCAACTTCATATTGCATTTCAAGTTTTCTCAAAATACTGAGAAATATATGAATCAAAATGTTTTCTGAAAAACTGAGACCTTGAAGAACACTTGGTTTCCCCATGGGCTTTCAAGATTTTAAAAAATATATCAAAACTGATATTATGGAATTTCCATTTGTCCAAAGTAGTTGATAGATAGACAGATAGACAGACAGACGGATGAGAGGGGATTACATAAGCCAACCAATAAGGACTATAAAAAGTACAGTAGTTTACACTTTGAATGTAAATGTTTACATAGAAGATTAGTAATGTTGTTATTTTTTAAATTATAAAATTAACCTTTAAAGATATCTCCTTTACAATATTTATTTAATCTTTTTCAATTATTAATATGGAGATAATCCCGCAATGACACCTGCAAAGCACATCAACATTTTTGCTTGTATTTAGATAATGTTGCTGCCCGGGCATTGCTCCTTTTTCATTTTCCTTCTTATAACATATCATGTATCTTTATTAAGGGTGTCAAAATAGCACTCTACTTTTCTAAAGTCATCGCCTTTTTGGAATGTTTTTGTCCCATTCAAGGCTGTGTTGATGTCAAAACTACAATGTTATGTCTATTTTTTAAACATCCAGAAAATAAAGATGGCAATTTTTAACATTCATGTTTTTATTATGAATATCCAACATTATAAATTTAAATAATTTTAACATTTCTCAGCATTCTGATTCATACAACAGGTATGTTCTATTTAGGACGGTAAAGCATGTTGGTCAATTAGTTAGTAAGTACCAATGGTAACACAGATCTTAACTTAAATACAAAGAACATTGTTTTTTCTGATGATATATTTTTTTATTATTGCACCAAAGTTGTAATGTATCCTTATCCACAACAGCGCTTTTAAAATGATTGACATGCTAACTGTAAAGTACATCTGTACTTTTTCAAGATGTACAAATAACACATTTAAAATATCTGCACATGGAAGAGAATGGGTGTACATAATGGGATACATAAACCTCCTCTCATCAGTAGTGTAGAGGAATCATGGGAGATATCCTTCCTTGGGTGATGGAAGTATTTGTGCATGTGAACTATGGTACATGTATGCATAATGTGCCTTCCTTTTTGGAATTTCAAAGGAATACCCTAACACAACAATCTTGAAACTAGGCATTAACATACAAGATATCACCACCTGCCATTTGTTACAGACACCGAACACCAAACTTTGACCACCAAATGCTACCCACTGAACACTGTCCACAAAAATGAGTGTTCTCATAACAGCAGCCCTTCGTCTAATGCTGTATGGTAATATGTGGTATAAAAGAAAAAGACTAGTCTCGGTTTGGAGAACAAAGTTTATCACTACTGCACATTACCCCTGCTTTGGACAATTCTGATATTTTTACATATTGTAGATTTAAATGTCCTCTTTTGAATATTCATTATTCAATTTGGGAAAAAATTATTAGCCAAGGAGACTGTTCACCAAACCGAAACTTGTCCTTTCAATACATGAACATAGAGAATGTACACTGTTGCCTGCCATCTTTTGTCAAGAATAGTAGTCTAAAGTGTGTTACTTTAATGTGTTTTCTTGCTGCTAACTTTAAACCATATCAAGAAAATATTTTAATGTTAAATGTTCCAATACCATTAGTAGGTACTGTGGGAATATACCAGAGAATATACATGGTGGGCTAAAAAACCAATACCCAAGTTTAAAGATGAATGATTCATATGATATATGTTAAACCATGCCATGTATTATATATCATTTTAAAGATAAATCGTTTCCTAACAAAATGACACCATCCAATTGAACAAAGACTTTGAGCCTGTGAACCCTTGAGTATTATTCCGAGATCGGGCCTTTTATACTAAACGGTGAGCAACACCAGAAATGAGCTTTCGATTTACTAATCGATATGTGCCACCCTTAAAACTTGGGTATTGTTTTTTTGGCCAACCTGTAGTACTACTTATTGTACACAGTTTCCTCCCACCGAGTACATAAATTACAATATCATAACATCATTAAAGTCAAATTACAATTTTTTCTTAAATGTGAGAAGCGTAAAATGCAGAATCATAAGTTGGAGATATAGTTTTTAAATAACATTCCCCATTTAACCTGTTATACTCACCATTACAATTACATTATTTTAACTCCATATTTCATAAATACATTGTACAGTAAAACCTGTCTAATTTGAATTCCTTTGGTACTACTCTAAAAAGACTTGGGATTCTGGAAAGTGTTCCACTTTACAGGTTTCACTGTAATTGACTATTCCATATTTAATATGTACAAGTACAGTCTAATGCATTGCCCAGAGAAATATGTAAGTTTCATTTATGGTCATGCACTATTCTGCACTGCATATTGACACAACCACAGAATTAATGCTGGTCTAATCTTGCATCTTACTCTTGCTTGATACAAACTTAATATACATTACCAACTTAGTGGAGCACTAGAACTTAGAATGGGAGTTGAGGCTTGATGCAAGACTATGTAAGTTCCATTTACCCAGGAGAATAACAAAAAATTACAATAAATAAAATAACAAAATATTGTAATGTGACACTGCACTGCAACTAAAGTCTCCTATGTTAGCCAACATCAAACATTAATCTATCAAACATTATAAACAAATACAAGTAGTGTACTTTGCATTCAAAAACTTATATGTCTCTCAAATAGATATTAATAGTTCATATATTTTGATCAAAATGGATCTCCATTCACTTAAGTAGCTGTCATACTAGCCATGTGGGCTCACTGTTTGCCACTATGTGGCTTATCTTGGGCATTAATTTTTAAATTAATTTTTGAATTTGGTATGATGGGAGATATATTGCTTTAAAACTGTTTGTTTTGTCCACCGTGTATCCATGCTGTGCCCCACCGTCTGCCCAAAGTATTCACACATTGGTGAACAGTGAGCCCACACGACCTAAGTGTGACAGCCACATTATAGGTAACTATATCTAAGGAATGTCATAGGTGACTTTAACAAGCTTTAACAAGAAAATAAATAAGTATTTTTCATGTGAGGTCATGCATAATATTGTTATAAGTAAATACAAAATTGAAGTTTGACCCTCCAAGTATCACCTTAATATATCAATAAAAAATTACATGAAATATATTGTAACTACATGTATGTTGGCTTACATGGGAAAATAACCTTACAATTACATCTTAGATCAAATTTGAAGTTAGTGGTTAATTAAATGACATTGAAAGCTCATTCCCCTGCACAACCAGGAAGATTGAGGTACAAAAAATGTTGATCTAGGATTTATTATAAATTCAAAAATTAAATCTTGACACGTGGAATGTACAACCACAGAACATGCATATCATGTTCACATTTTTCACAAATCAATTAACATTGGTGAAGTTACTTATTTTGAATTCACTGATGGTGATATAAGTATATGAAATTGACGATATGACAGTAAATAAAATTTTTAACAGTATTCCATGAGTTACTTCTATTGCACATCTGTGGGAGCAACATCATCACCCAGTTGGCTCTCAGTCTGAGATGTCTCACTGACGTCATCTTCTAGAGCATTTCCTTCGATGTTGTTATCCTCATCTGTATTGTTTACAACCATGAGAGAAATCTTGGTGACTCCATCGGAATTTACATTTGGCATATTGTCAACTATTTTTGAGGAAGAAACATCAATTTTCAAACGTTCACTCTCTGGGTCATGGACCCCAACAAAACTTTGAGTTTGACTAGGAGTACTGTCATAAAGTTTGTTGGCAATGTTTTCTTCAGTGGTTAGCCTGGATTCATCTTTATCAAAACTTCCTGATGCTTCTGTTTGTGCATAACTTGAATCTATTTTCTGTTTCTCCACCTTCTCACCCCCAATTGCAATATCCATCCCACTTGCCTCACCACAACGATATCCCGGGGCTATATCAAGTAGTTCATGCTCAATGATTGGTTCAATGTCTTGCTCACTTAAACTCTGTTGACTTCTTGGTGAATCATTGTCATTATCAACAGGAACTTCATCAACTAAATCCTTCTCGGTAAACTCCTTATCAAATATATCACTTGATGTTCTCAGTATTGGATCACTTCGATCGAAACTTTCAACACGTTTCAACCTTGATGGTTTAAAGTTCTGAATACTCAACTGATGCTTGAGTACAAAGTCTAGCCTAGGGGAGCTACGATCGCGTGTTATAGTACGACGTAGTTTATGTTTAGCGTCAAATTTTTTGATTGATTTTGTGATTTGCTGTAGTTGTTTTATGTCTTTTTCCTCAAATGCAGCAAACAGTTCCTTTATACTAAGTCTCTGAACCTCTGAACCTGAAATTAAACAGAATGGAGTCTTATCTAGCATGAAAATATGAGCAGTGACGTTTAAAGGCCAGGATAGTAATGCACCGTCAACAAATATATCTAAAGTTATTGTTATAGTCTATAACATAATATTGTCAAAACAAACATGCCTTCATGCAATTTCACATTAGATTACATCACACAAATTTTTATTCAACATTTTTGAATGTTTCACTAAAACAATTTTTATAAAAACTTAAGAATTAAAGCTCCAAACAAAAGCAAAAAGGGGATTAATGTGACAAAACATCACCACCTGGTATGTTAATGCAAATGGCTACAAAAATAAAACAATTTGCAACAGATGGCAAACGCACCAATGGATGATTCTAACTAATGCATCAATGGGTGATTCTATTTAATGCACCAATGGGTGATTCTATTTAATGCACCAATGGGTGATTTCTATTTAATGCACCAATGGGTGATTTCTATTTAATGCACCAATGGGTGATTCTATTTAAAGCACCAATGGATGATTCTATTTAATGCATTAATGGGTGATTCTATTTAATGCACCAATGGGTGATTTCTATTTAATGCACCAATGGGTGATTTCTATTTAATGCACCAATGGATGATTCTAACTAATGCATCAATGGGTGATTCTATTTAATGCACCAATGGGTGATTCTATTTAATGCACCAATGGGTGATTTCTATTTAATGCACCAATGGGTGATTTCTATTTAATGCACCAATGGGTGATTCTATTTAAAGCACCAATGGATGATTCTATTTAATGCATTAATGGGTGATTCTATTTAATGCACCAATGGGTGATTTCTATTTAATGCACCAATGGGTGATTTCTATTTAATGCATCAATGGGTGATTCTATTTAATGCACCAATGGGTGATTCTATTTAATGCACCAATGGGTGATTTTATTTAATGCACCAATGGGTGATTCTATTTAATGCACCAATGGGTGATTCTAATAAATGCACCAATGGATGATTCTATTTAATGCACCAATGGGTGATTCTATTTAATGCACCAATGGGTGATTCTAATAAATGCACCAATGGATGATTCTATTTAATGCACCAATGGGTGATTCTATTTAATGCACCAATGGGTGATTCTAATAAATGCACCAATGGGTGATTCTATTTAATGCATTAATGGGTGATTCTATTTTATGCACCAATCAGTGATTTTATTTAATGCATCAATTCTAATATACATGTACTTAATAAATAAATAAACCCTTAATTAGTCAAAATACGGTAAGCAGCCCTGAGCCTGCAAGCAACAGCAAAGCTCTGACTGTTGTTAGTCAACACATTCAATTTGCCATCATTACATTTACATGTACATTGTATAAACCAACAAAGTCTAAGCTTACACTTATTTTAAATCTAACAACCATTCTAGAGGTGAGAATGTGTTGGCGTATGTACAACTGCCGCTCTTACAAGCTCTCCGTGTCCACAAAGCTTTAAGCTTTTACCTCAAACAGACACTACAATAACACCAGACACAGGATGTCCCACAGGAGGTCACGCCATACCATCAAGATACGACACATTTCCATCCCCACTACTCCCACTAGTTGTATTATGCCCTAAGTATTGTGAATATGGCTCAAGGTCTTTGAGAAGTCCTTTAAGGCTCACTGAGCGCTTTTTTATGTTCAAAGGAAGGCCAAACCCTGCTCAGAAATAAGTTTTCAATTTTATAACGAATGGATCATATCATCTTCTTGGTTACCATAACAACGGTAAAAAATATCAAGTCATAGATATACACTAATGATATGACACTGTGAAGGAAAATTGTACATATTTGTGCAGAAGTTTTTGAATGACCCTAATAATTTCCATATTTTTTCTGAAAGTTTTCAGAACCAACAAAATATAACTAAATACTGGTGCCACCTACCTTTCCTTGACACCTTTGCTCCATCTGCTTGTTGCCATGGAGGGTCAAGGTCATCATGCTCCTCGACCAGCTTCAAGGCATTGTCAAGTAGCTTAATTATTGCATCATTCTGAAAGTATTTCAATATTTTAGCCTTATCATAATCCTGGCTCCATATAAAATATATGGGCAAATGTTTTAAATATGAGGCCAAATGTTTTAAATATGTAGCCCAGTGTTTTAAATGTGTCGTCAAGTATATTAAATATGTGGTCCAACGGTTTAAATTTATGTGGCCCTGAATGTTTTCAATATGTGGTCCAATGTTTACCTGAGCTAGTTGCATAGGCATCAGTTGTTGTCTATTCCTGGCACCAGGTACTGCGCCATGTTGCAGTAATAGGTTAACAATGGATATATGGTGCCACTTAGCAGCCTCATGTAGGGGGGTATTGCCACGCTGGTTGGTTTGATTTATGGACGCACCATGCTGGAAAGTGTTTTGCGAGTAATTAGAGTGGGAGAGATGGAGCCACTACATACTCCCTAATTTTTACTATAAATCATTGTTTCGGGATTTTACACATGATAAGGTTATCTATTATCTACAACTTATTCATGTTTGAGTTTTTCCAAGCCGAAGAGTAAATAATTTGTGTCATAATAGAATTTCAATTTACAGAGATTTCAGTTTATATTGTTTGGAATGATGAAAAAATGTTTAATCAATTTACAGTTCACTTTCCTTGAGTTTATACTAAATAAAACGTGAGTCATTCAATATTTTTTCATGAGTTATTTCTGTAGTTAATAGTTATACCTTTAATAGAACCTCAGCTGGACCTTCGCAGCCATTCAGGGCGCAGTAATGCAGGGGCGTGTCACCTCGAACATCTTTGATATTTATCTTAGCACCATGAATTAATAATAGAGAAACAATCTGCAAAACATAAATCTGATAATTTAAAGTGTGTAATTTAAACTGCTTAAGTGGAATACCTTTGGTACCTCTTAAAAGTGTTTCACTTGGGAGGCGTTCCATTTACAGAGGGTCATTTAAAATAAGTCAATAAGTCTAAATTATATAGCTTGGCTGCGCCCTCAGCCAATTCTCATAACGTAGCAGATGGAGGGAGATTAACAATTATAAAGCACTTAGTAAATAAATGTTTAAGAAATGAGTAATCTCACTTTAAGGTAGGCCCATTGCAAATAGGTTTGCACAATGACATCATAAGCAAACAGGTTCAAAAGTTGTCACACTGAGTCTACCTTAAAAACATTAAAAGCCTTGTAGCGTATACCTTTGGCATGTTCATTTGGCAAGCAAGATGTAATGCGGAACACTGACTTGTCCGAGTTTTTGCATCTATATCAGCACCTTTACGAATCAAGATGGTTGACATATCTTCGTAACCATGGAGAGCAGCAACATGGAGTGGAGAAAAACCATCGCTATTGGTTGAATTGATGTGGAGACCATCTGATGTCACAGAAGAGTTCCTCTGTAAATATAAATAAATTTAACCCCTTGAATACAACTGTAAACAAATTTTGGATTTTATGAGTCACAGGATTTTGAAAGTGAGCCAAATGTAAAGGCCTTCAACTGTTTCGTAAGTCCAAAGAAAATATAAATAAAGACTGACTTGCAGTCATTTTAATAAAATGATGTCAACATTTCTCTTTCATTCATTACAATGATCACTATTCACATTGAACTCTTTGAACAATCAGAATCCAGTAATTCAAATTAAATGAATTATTAACAAAACATATCAGAACGTAACTGCAGTGTTTGAGAAAATCCCTCAGCTCTGGTATATCTTTATTGCAAGGGTCAGCTGTCCCTTAAGCATGGAAACTTGGCTCCATTACCATAACAACCATCAATACCTTCTATTTACTTCCTGGTTCCTTAATTTACCCTTATATAATATTTGTGTCTGAAAGCAAAAGTTATCAGACCCGTAGCCAGCTGTGCCAAGGGGGGTTCACTTTAAAAAAAAATTCCATGTGGGTCACATTTGACAAGCAAAAAATGGCCAAAACCACTTGAAAAGTGCTCATAAAAGTGAAACACTGCATGATTTTGAAATGTGGGGGGGGGGTTATACAATATATAATCTAATCTAATCAAATTATATCATTTTTCTGGCATTCTTATACAATTGTAAATAATATGAGTTGGTGATTCATTCATTTCCATTTGCTAATTCTCCTTATTGTCAATTTCATGTTTTCACTTTCTTTTAATCAATAGAAAATTATTAAATCATTCACAAAAATGAGCTAATTCTCTTTTGGAAAAAATGGAAGCTGTGTTCTTTCTGTTCAGTATTTAACGCGAGTTCTTCAAGAAATAATGTTCTTCAAGAGATAATGGGGAGGGGAGCTGATGCCAATATAGCCACTTAATTGGTCCACAAAAAATTCTCAACAAAACACACGGTGATCAAAACAAACAAACAAACAATCAAATAACAAACAAACAAACAAACAATTAACATCAAAGACAAGACAGTGCTAATGCCAAAATAAATAGTCTTGCTTCAAAACCCTGGACCCCTCTCATCTACTTTACTACTTGTTGAAGAAGAGGGGGGGGGGGGTCTTATAAGATAAATTATTTCACCGGGAATTGCTTCCTTCACCTCTGACTAAGCCATCTGCACTTGAGGCCCACATAGAGATAATATAGTACTATTTCATCAGTCTCCCCCTTGCTAATCAATATTACATGGGGAGAGATAACTGACAAGTCATGTCTTCAAACTAAGCCATGAAAAGTAAACGAAAGTCAGATTGTAAGTGACTAATATAAAACCCAATTTTGGATGTTATTTCAATGAGCAGGTTTTCAAGAAGATATATTTAGACTTTCTTGTAGCTTTCTAGCTTGGTAATATTTTCAAGGGGTTCTTTCCAGGTGCTACAAAGTCTCTGAGCATCTTCAATAACATACTGCAACCTTACTAAAATCTTCAGTGGGTGTTAATAATTCTCAATTTTGAAGAGCAGATTATCTCGGAGTGACAAGTCCAGTTGTTTTAATAGGAGATTATCCAATAATTTTATCACTGATCATTCCAATATAAACAGTCAGACATCACAAAAGTACTGAGCTGGAAATTACAAGATAGTGCACGAGTGAGTGAAATATTAAAATGTGAAACTGAGATAAAGAGATTTAAGTGGAATTGCCATGGAATAAAGGCAGTGAAATGATGAAATCGAAATTTTCTAAATCAGCACTATACAGTACATAGAAAAACCACAAAATCAGTGTGTAAAGGAGAGACAATAAAAGAACAAAGCCAACTGGCATAAAATGTTTTAAAATACAGGATTTTTCTCTCAGCTGTTTGAGGTTTTGAAATCAAGTAACTGAATATGATGGTAACAAAAATACTAATTCCTTTACTCCTCATAACCACACTACATATCTCGGGTAGGCCAAATAGACATAGAAAGAATTTGAGACACCAACATGGAAAGAAAACGAGACACCAACATCTGAAAAATCCAAGAACCAAACAGGAACATGTATTAAAGCCATTAAAGCCAAGGATTAGACTTCGCATAACCAGGGACTTTCTTCCCATTGATGATAAGACCAATACTAATAAAGAACAAAGGGATTCGGGACTTATATCTCCATGGCGTCCACTTGTAGGACCAAAAAAACTGGTCCAAAAATGTGACAATGCTGAGAAGATTTTTAGCAGTGATGAAAAGGGTATTTCATTAAGGGAGGCTCAACGTAAGGCTTCTGCTTCTGGAACTGAGGTATATGTCATATCTTTCTATTATAAAGAGAGACGATCCGTTATGTCTTGTTTTCTCTGTTAAACCTAAGAATATTTTGAAAGTTTAAAAAAAGGGTGAGTGCATGTTTTAACATCCCATAAAAGGTCAAAGTTCGTTGTATTGAATCTGATCCGGGGTCACCTCCTTTGTCCATAAATAGGTTGCCTTATATAAAGCATGTTTGGAGACTTTCTGTGCCTTTTGATGGTCTGTCAAAAATAACTGTACCGACAAGGATTTCCCTCAAGGAGTGCCCTACAGGTTAATATTATGCACATATAGTACTAATATAATTGTTAATTTGTGAATACATATATGTAGTCTAGGAAGCACATACAAAAAGGTTGACATGCAGTAGGTACAGTAGGTGGCACATCAATGTAAGCAATTATTTCATAATGGTATGAATGCTAAAAACTTGGCTAGCACCTTGTAAAATAAATATTTTTTCAGAACAATATTTTCTTAACAGTAATTATGTCTTACTTAAATCATTGAACTTATAAGAATGTATTTCTAGGATTGGGTTAAATCAAGAAAACACAATGTTTTGGACCGGATGGATCCTTTGTACAGTATGAGTCCTAGTGTTGGCGGGAACAGGGGGCCAGCTGGACAGGTGAAAAATAGTGATTATGATGACAATATCTACAGTTTCTTCACATGTAATGTATGTGAAACGTGAGTACCAAACTATGCAAAAAATATATGTGAAACATGAGTACCAAACTATGGAAATTATATATGTGAAACGTAAGTGCAATAAGTACAAAAATATGCAATATAATTTATGTGAAATGTAAGTACAAAACTATGCAATGTAATCTACATGTAAATGAATCATTAGTACAAAACTATGCAATGTGATCAATGGGATACGTGAGTACAAAACTATGCAACATAATCTATGTGAAACGCGAGTACAAAACTATGCAATGAAACTGTGTGAAATGTAAGTACAAAACTATGCAATACTAGAAAAACAGCAACTCCACGGAGTAGCAAATCCCACCGAACAAAACATGTTTTGATAAGAAATATAACACAATTTTTAAAGTATATGTGAAGTTTATATTTATATTTATTGAATGCTGGTGATAGTAACTGCTAACATTGAAAGATGTCATGGTTTATTGGAGGAATCAGGATCAACGCTAAAGAAAAGGTAGCGGCCATTTAAAATTTGAGCCAAATCCATCCACTGGTATTTGAATTATCAAAGATTGTGTTTTTATGAAACATGTTTGCCATTTTGAAATTCAGCAGTCATATTTAGATTTCTTCTTTAGCAGTGCTCCTACGTCCCAATGTATCAGCATATACAATTTAATCCAAATCCGTCAACTGGAACTTGAGTTATCAAGGATTACATGTTTAATGAAAAATGGGGGAGATTTCGATAAATAGCAGCCACCTTGAAAATTTCTTCTCAAGCAGAGCTCCTTTATCTCTAGGCATCAGTATATAAAATTAGAACCAAATCTGTCCATCTGGTATTTGAATTATCAAAGATTACCTTTTTTTATGAAAAATGGCCGCCATTTTGAAATATGGTGGCCATCTTGAAAATGTCTTCTTGAGCAAGGATCCTTTGTACCAAAGCAACAGCATATAAAATTTGATCCAAATCCATTCAATGGTTTTTGAGTTATCAAAGATAACGTTTTTTAAGAAAAATGGTCGCCATTTTGAAATATGGTGGCCATCTTGAAAATGTCTTCTTCAGCAAGGCTCCTTTGTACCAGGGCAACAGCATATAAATTTGAACCAAATCCATCCACTAGTATTTGAGTTATCAAAGATTATGTTTTTTTCGAAAAATGGCCGCCATTTTGAATTTAGTGACCATATTAAAAATTTCTTATCGAGCAGAGGTCCTACGAACGGACCGACGAACGGACGAACGGATGGACGGTCGGCTTTTCTATATACCCCTCGAACTTCGTTCGGTGGGATAATAATCTACATGTATATGAATCATTAGTACAAAACTATGCAATGTGATCTATGGGATATGTGAGTACAAAACTATGCAATGTGATGATTGTAAAAACATGAGTACAAAACTGTGCAATGTGATCTATGTGATTCGTGAGTATTAAACTATGCAATGTGATGAATGTGAAAAATTGTGTTCAAGACTGTGTCATGTGATGCATTTGGACATATGATTACGAGACTTTACAATGTGATTGATGTGAAAAAATGAGTACAAAACTATGCAATATTATTATTCAATGCTTTATTGTACTAAAAATCCCTTTCGGGTGAGTGTACAGCAAATAAACATGATAAAATAAAAATTAAACTATACATACAATTACAATAACATACAATGCAAATTTTACATGGCATATAATGACAATATAATGTATGTGAAATGTGAAATGTGAGTACAAAACTATGCAATATAATATATGTGAAAAAATGAGTACAAAACTATGCAATATAATGTATGTGAAAAAATGAGTACAAAACTATGCAATATAATATATGTGAAAAAATGAGTACAAAACTATGCAATATAATGCATGTGAAAAAAATGAGTACAAAACTAAGCAATGTGATGTATGTGAAAAAATGAGTACAAAATGATGCATCATTGCAAATAATCTTTACTGTAACAATCCCCTACATTGCAATACATAACTACTGAGACTAAACTTTTTCACAACTGTCTAATACCACAATATCACCAGAAGTAAAAAGTAGTTTTGAACTAGATAAAAATTTAAACCAGGAGATCTCTAAATAAGCTATATAAAATATCTGCCTTTAATGATAAGTTCCTAGATAACCCACTTTGCTCAAACATCTTGCCAGCTACCAAAAGCTAGAAATTAGCACAGGATTTACACTGATTACTCTAGCAGATACATTTTGAAACATGTCAGTAACTACAAGGCTGGTTTTCCAGCTATTTCTAATTCTCAAAGCTATACCCAACTGTGAAACAAATGGATCATTATCTGAAACTTCTATGGAAACTTTACTTAACAGTACACAAGGAATTTTTCATAGTACAAAACATAATTCAACAATTGAATCTGCAAGATATCAAATTAGATTAGAACAATTTTCAGAGGGGTACTTTAGAATATTTAGTCATACAGGCAGGGGTAGTAGGCCTGGTCAAGGAGGAGATAGGATACATGCACAGCAGGGATTTATACCTGTTCGATGGACAGGGAGACATAGTAGGTAGTGAGGTAGCACCGAAAAATGTACCCGCTTCTGAACAAATTGAAATTACTTGTTTCTTATGTATTTTTATGTGATACTTCAGAAAATCTTTGTCTGACGCGCCATATCTGGGGCAAAAGTTGTCAAAATTGGGTTTTTGACCCTAAAAAGGAAAATTACAGGGGGTACATTAACATCATTGAATAATTCATTCAGGTAGTCTTCAATCATCATAATGATTTTATTGAGAGTTGATGAGATCATTTTAAGGTAGTATGCAAACTTTCAATGGTCTGTCACTCATGGTTGCCATGGAAACCACAATTTTTGCTGAGAAAATCCTTAATTTTGGTAAAACCTGTACCTGTACATAATATAGAATGTGGATTATTTTTCAAATCAACAGATATCAGAACATTTTAGCACTCTAAAAATCACCAGGGCTGTCCAAACATTTGTTTAAAGAGAAAGAATATTGCAATTTATATGCCTGGTAAGTGTCAAAGACCATACAATTACATAAGTGGTCAAAAGTGGGCGTCGCCCTCATAATAGTAGTTGATTGCCATTCTCTATAAATACAGAGTTTTACTTGACTTTTGAGATACATTTATATTGAATTTCTTTGGTCATACTTAATATCAAGCATTTTTACATCTAAGTGTTATAGTTATTGCATGGGGATACAGGGGGAGGGGGGAGGGGGGGTAGTAACAGAATTGGGAGGGGGCAGAGCTTATCAGCCTTAAGTGTAAATATCATCTACATGGTTCTAGATTTCATAGGGTACAGCTTCTGGGTCTTATTATATTCATCTCAATATAGAAGATATTAGAATTTACATGGTTGGTAAGTGTCAAAGACCATAGAATTACACATGTGATCAAAAGTGGGCGTCGCCCTAATCATAGTATATGGTTCATTCTCTATAAATACAGAGTTTAACTTGACTTTTGAAGTACATTTACTTAAAAACATCTTTGATTTATACTTAATGTCAAGCATTTCTGGTAAGTTATATATGTACATCTAATTGTAATAGTTATTGTCTGGGGGTGGAGGAGGGGGGGAGAGTAACAGAATTGGAAATGGGCAGAGCTAATAAGCCTTAAATGTAAATCTCATTTATTTAGTTCTGGATTTCAAGGGGTGCATCTTCTGGGTCTTCTTCACTTCTGGGTCTTCTTCATCTCAATATATGGGATATTCCAATTTACATGATTGGTAAGTGTCAAAGACCATACAATTACATAAGTGATCAAAAGTGGGTGTTGCTCTAACAATAGTAGATAATTTATTCTCTATGAATATGGAGTTTAACTTGACTTTAAGATTTATTTTTTAAATTAAAACTTCTTTGATTACATTTAGTATTGTAATATTTATTCCCTGTGGGGGGGCAAGGGGGGTAGTAGCAGAAATGGGAGGGGGCAGAGCCAATGGCCAGTCAGTCTTAAGTATTAATATCATAGTTTGATCATTTTCATTCACCTCCCAATGTTAATATATTAACAATATCATGTGGGAGAATATACCACTACACTTGCAGATTTGAGAGTCATTCAGTTGAGTGTATCTATATGGCGCTCCACCTTTGCCTTTTAAAAAGGTGCTATTGCTATTGCCCCTTCTGCATGGCACTTCATCTGTGAATGTGTGAAGTGCTAGGAAGGCTGCATATATGTCAGGGTCTATATTGGAGGAAATACCACTGACATCAGTCTTCATTTGTTTCCAACTCAAATATCCAGCAGCAGACTTTGCTGTATTTGCTTTTTGTTTTCATCATCATACAAGAACTAATTCCAATCTTTAGGGACTCATGTTTTTCTACCTTAAATAGGGCAAGGTGTCCCTCCCCTCTTTCAGGTTCCTTTATAGAATTTTTGATGTAATTATCACATACAAAAACGAATCAATCTGCAATTGTAGAATCTTGAAACAGTCTCCGCCAGATCCAGAAACAAAACTACCTTTCAAGTTGAATTATGGTTTGGGATAGTTGGGGTTTGTTTTCCTTATGACTTGTATACATTTAGAAGTTTTCTTTTTCTTGCTGGGTTCTATTACAAATTTTGGTCCTTTCCCTTTGGCACTTGTGGGTACATGTTCATGCATAGGGATGCGTTTCTCTGTTCCTGCAAGAAGTCCAGTCAGTGTTCCTAGAGCCCAAGGCACAGGGCTCAATAGGAACTGCAGGAGACATTCTAGGCTAATTTTATGTTCTTAAGCAAGATCGAAGCTGTTCAAAGATGTTTCATTCAGAATGTATTTGTATAAGCTTGTTCTGAGTACTTTTTTACTGTCACTGTCACTGTTGCTGCTGTAGTTTGCTGCTATAGTTTTCAATTTCATATGTTTTATTAGATCATGAAATCTTTTTTTCAACTAATCTCAGATGGTATCTCTTCATGCAATTTCCCCTTTTGACTAAAATTAGATGAGATCTGCAGCGACATCATTTGGCACAGATTTTCCTTATGATACACCGTAGAGAT